ATCGTACAAAATCCGCTGGTCAACAGCGGTTTAACAAAAGAGGTCTGAAGAAAAATGATTACACTGAGAACTACTACGGTGCAGGAAGCAAGGCCGACATCATAGGCCAGGCTGACCGTTTGTGACAGAATATATGTTCCACGTGCTTCCGTGCGTCCATTAGTCAGTCAAGTATCCTTTTTGGGCATCATTGCATCGAGTTTTAATAGATGGCAGTTTTGTTATCACAAGTTGTTCTTGGACTCCGCGGTTGCCAGTGAGTGACTGGTTGTCTGTGAACGTTTAAACTCTTATCCAGCTCTTATCTGAACATAAATAAGTGTGGAGGTCACCTGCTCATGCGTGTAGAGGCACGGGTATATAACGAAATGCACTAACTTGAAAAGGAACTTGTTCCTTGTTTTTGGCTGCCAACCATGCCGCAAAGCGTGGATGTGGTCGATTTCTTTAAGCCCTCCAAGTGGGCTCTCGACCGTGAAGAAACGACTTTCGCGAACTATGGATGGAGCAACAAGGACATGGATCCGGTACCTCTTCGTCTGAGAACATGGACGTAAGCACGATAGAAGTTGTTGTACCCTTTAGCTGTTTTCATAACCTCGATGATTCCTCGTAGCACCTGGAATTATGTAGGACACACCACGACGATTATCACAGCGCAATTCACTAATACCTGTTTGTTAGATATCCTATTGGATTTCTGATGCTACTAATCTTGCAGTTTGGGAGTTGGCTAGCTCCATGCTTGCAATCGGTTTATCTTGGTATGACTGCTTGAACCAGTTCTCCGCTTCCGACTGTACATTTTATCTGATGTTGTGTCAGGCGCCAGGCTATGCCATGTATTGCGGTTGCCTATGGGATTATTTCCATAGTGATGGTTTTGACCGGCACAATAGGCGCTCGTCTTCACGTCGCCTTCCCTGTATTAAATCGATCGTCTTTCGGCTTCTGGTTCAGTTACTTCACCGTGTTCAGTCGCGTCATATTATCTATGTTCTGGTTCGGTATACAGGTAATGATTATGCGAGTGCATTTTATGACAGGAGTCCTCATGCATGCATTTAGACATACAACGGGTCGCAATGCGTGTATCAGGTGCATTGTTTCGTACTCTGTTAATCTTTGGTCATACTGACTTGAAATACGATTCAGATGCTCAAAGCCATTTGGCCTTCGATTGCAAACATGCCCAATCAATTACCTGTCTCCGCAAATATTACCAGCTCCGGTGCGTCATTTCCCCTGCTGTCCTTGTCATATACTTACAGACCAATTTGTCAGGGTTAATGTGTTACCTTCTTTATTGGCTGATTCAGCTTCCGTTTCTTTTCGTGACTCCTCATAAAATCCGTTGGTTATTCTTCGCAAAAGGTGTACTTACACCTATAGCATGGCTAGCAATGGTCATATGGGCATTCGTTAAGGTCCCTGCCTCAGAGGGCTTGTTTTCCCAGCATGCAACTATCGAAGGCAACTACTTTTCATGGGCATGGCTGAGCGCGATGAACAGCGCCTTGGGAATCTATGCCAGTTTGTCGGTCAATATTCCCGATTTTACTGTAAGTCAGATAGATTTATACATCTTCTGCCACAATTTCTCACAAAATTGCAGCGCTACGCCAAGAATGAACGAGCGTATGAATAATTCCAATCTAAGATTGACGCTGTTGTCTAATGGGCTTTTAGTCAATATGTCCAACCGTTTATCATACCCATCGCATTTACGCTGTGCAGCTTTGTCGGAATTGCTGTGACTAGTGCTGGAATACAGCTCTACGGCGAGGTCCTGTGGGACCCTCTTCTGTTAATTGATCGTTGGGACAATCGGGCCGCAGCCTTTTTCGCCTCCTTCGTATTTGCGTTAACGACTATTGGTACCAACATCAGCGCTAATTCACTCGGGGCAGGAAATGATATGACAGCTCTGTGTCCCAAGGTTAGCGTCTATACTATTTCCACAGACAATCGCTTATTTCAAACAGTATATCAACATCAGGCGCGGACAAATATTGTGTGCGATTATTGGTGGCTGGGCTCTGTGTCCATGGGAGATCCTCGCCAAGTAAGTCCTCGCCAAGTGTTAGGTTCGTAGAGTCTTTATCATCCACCGATAGCGCCACGGGGTTTTTGAGTTTTATGGATGGATATACCATTTTCCTTGGCCCTTTCGCTGGCATCATGGTCACTGATGTAGGTGTAACTAATAGGCATCCCCGCTCGTCAATTAACACTTTGCGTCACACAGTTTTACCTGGTGCATAAAGGCCGCGTCGACGTTCCCGCTATGTACGACCCTTCAGGACGATATCGCTACACTGGGGGATTTGTAAGCTTTAATGCTACTGGCTATGTTAAATCGCCTCATGATATATTTGACTGCTTACATAGAACTGGCGCGCGGTCCTGGCAATGATAGTGACTGTTGCCCCCACGCTGCCCGGCCTTATCAACTCGATCAATCCAGCTATCAATATAGGGTACGCAACCCATTTATTCGATATCGCGTGGATGTATGGGGTACGGCACTCCTGATCTCCTTCACACGTGTCTTGCTTACCTTTTTATACTAGTTTGTGGTTGCATCCCTGGTGTATTACGTTGCATCGCGCTTGTTCCCTGCTCACGATACCTATGTTGATGCCCTAATCTCTGCGGACGACGCCATGCCCATAGACAAGCAGTATGAAAAGGAGAGAAAATCTCCCATAGAAACAATGCAGAGTGGTACTGAAGGCGAGGATAAGAAAAGCGTAAACGTCGAGACCACTGAAGTACAGGTGTAACATATACATAGCACCTAGCACATCGTGTTTCTCCCCATTAATGTTGATGGACCGTATATTTGACTTGGCCGTCTTTTCGAACTCTTCGTTGTCTGCTCACCTGAGCACACTTTAATGGATGCGAATAAGTACCAGAACATAGACCCACACGCGCGCGATTTGATCGCGGACCGTTTGCAGGTGGTGCTGGACCAGATGATCAGTTCATATTCTAAGTCCTGATTACATAAGTGATCGTCTGACGTGGAGATAGGCAATTTTTCGTCCGGGGTCCGCGGGTTTTTGTGTCTTCGACTCCTCGACAAGCTTGCCTGTCTTCGCGCATCCCAAATTTTGACTGAGGAATATTTGTGTCCAGTAGAGGGCTCCTTGCGATATCCACCTGTCGCAATCATGAACATGGTCGCGTCTGGTGAATATACGGCTGCCCACACAAGTTCGTACCCTGCCAATCGATTGGAGCGAGTATAGTCACTCCACTTTCTACATCCCATTGTCTTGCAGTCCTGTCCCAGGATCCACTAAACACTCTCAGGTCATCTTGACTCCAGCAGACAACACCGATTTTGTGTGCCCCATCCATTTAGCGATAACCTTGCATGCACAACCTCACGTTATCGTCCTCGGTTCCGCCAACCACTTTCTTCCCGTCCAGACTCCAGACAACGCTATCTAAGTGCATACCACACTGTCTCCATCCCTCCAGTCATCTCCCATCTGTTTTCCGCTCTTTGAGTTCTATAATCGCAGCGAGCCGTCGTATGAGCAAGTAACAATCCGCAGTCTGTCGAGCACTGGTGTATGACGCCACGGACTGACTCAGCGTGTCCTTCAAATTTCTGGCGGGGTGTTATCACCAATGTCTCCTGCGCTTGTGTGCCCCATTCATTTAGCGATGACCTTGCATGTTTTGATGTCCCACAACCTCACGTTATCGTCCTCACTTCCGCTAACCACTTTCTTCCCGTCCAGACACAACGCTACAGTTCATACCCCACTGTCTCCATCCCTCCAGTCATCTCCTATCTGTTTCCCACTCTTCGAGTTCTATAATCGCAGCAAGCCGTCGTATGAGCAAGTAACAATCCGCAGTCTCTCAGGCAGGTGTATGACACCACACACTGCCTTGGTATGTCTTTCAAATTTCTGGCGGGGTGTTATCGCTGATATCTCCTGCATCTTAACGATGGGTGAAGACAACGAATGTTTCAGTCAAGTCAGCTGAGTCCACTGGAAGTTTGACTTATCTGACTGATATCAGTGATGTGACAGCTTATACACAGCATAGGCTGTGTAGCTGAAGCCCTCAAGCGTGAATTGCCACCATGCCCTCGGGAATCGGATTTGAGAACTCCTCACCAGCTGCTTATGTACATTATCGAAGAGATGTATAACTGATACTCCTACAACCCATTTTAGCGAATACGGGGAACGTAGGCCTCAAGTTGCCTATCCGCAGCCACCCCTTGAAAGAAGACACATTCCATGCCTTTGTTTTGGTCGTCTAATAACCTGGAAGTGTAGAACCTGCTGAAGCCATGAAAAAAAATGATTTCTTTGCATAGTACTGTGGACACTCGAGCTACAAGTAACGTAAAAACAAGAAATCGATGTGCAATAAGCTAGCGTGACGTGTTCATGAATCCGGCAGGTTTGGACTGATCACTGAGATGACCCAGGGGCTTGCAGATGTTCCTACTTGTGCAGGTCAGGTTGTCAGATTAGGAAATCATTAATATTGGGAATGCACGCACCTGTGCAATCGATGCCTCGGAAAATTGGTCCCCATTATCATGAAGAATGAATGACTATCTTGATTCTATTTCATTGAAGTCTGCCCGCAGGACATGTCGGTCCGGAGACGGAACAATGCTGTGGCTGTACTTCCTCATGTGATCTTAAGTAGCAATATCCATCATGTTCAGACTCCGATCATCCTCTCCTACAAGGGAATGGTTCTAGAACTTCTTACTCTGGGCGAAAGTATTGTACAATGTGGTATGACACCACAACCCGGTCATATGACATTCTTAACCGTCACATGCCCTGCAGCATCACAGCTATTCAGTGGGTACAGTTGACACATCGATTGGCAAGGGGTACTTGAAAAGTCAATCTTCACTTGAAACGGTGCCGCAACTTACGATGAGGTACCTCCAATCTGTCTTTGCGTTCATCCCACTGCAACAAATTGACCTGCGCATCCCTGATAACATGCAGCTCCTCCTCAGTGCTACGACTTGTCTTGCTGTACTGGTGGTAATCTTTCCGACTTACCGTCCTAAATCAAAGAGTGGCCTCCCTCTTCCACCTTCCCCTCCCACTTGGAGACTTCGAGGGCATGTCTTGCCACCTTACAAGTAACGTGTCCCATTTGACTCATCGAGTTTTGAATGCTGATTATATCCTATATTCGACAAGACCATTCCTCACCGTAGCGGGATGGATTGACGAGTACGGTCCTCTGATTACCATTCGATCAAATTTCGAGCGAATCGTTATTATCGGGCGTTACAAAGTCAATTCCTGTACGCTGCGTTGTCATTTCCCAGCTCAACAATATTCCGTTGTAGGCTGCCGTGGAAATTATGGAGAATCAGGGAAAATTTGTAGCTGATCGTCCTCGCATGGTTGCTGCTGGAGAAATGCTTAACGGCGGAATGAGCATTGCCCTTATACCCTTCGGGGATCGGTTCCGTCGCATGCGTAGGTTAGTAATCTGCGATGCATCCCCTCATCTATCTTACATTTCAACGTGACGTAGAGCACTTCATTCTCATCTCCAACCTAAAGCAGCTGAGGCATATCAGCCAGTACAGACGTCACACGCGAAGGACATAGTTCTTGGTGTTCTTGATAATCCACAAGACATCACCCACCATGCCATAACGTAAGCGGTGTCGTCTATGATAGTGTGGGTACTTTGCTTACGGGTACTATGAAGTTATGCTGCAACGACGATCATGAAAGTTGCATATGCGAAGAATACGCCTACGTCTGGGACTGATCCAGAAGTCGTTGAGATGCTTCAAATGTCCCGGATGGTTGCTAGAATTCTGCGCCCTGGTGCTTACCTGGTAGACTCAATCCCGTGGCTCAAATACCTTCCTTGGTATGGCCGAGAGTTGAAACTGGGGTTTGAAAGCAGGAAGAAAGTTCACATTGATGATATGGAACGCGTGAAAGAGCAAATGGTATGCATTTCCCTTTCGATTTTCACTTCATCACTAAGTCATTCCACAGCAGAGCAAAGAGGATATCGGTCCTTCGTTCATGAAATATATACTAGAAAACAACCAATCCTATGATTTAACAAGACCGAGATGGCCTTTCTTGGTGGTGCCTTTCTCTCAGCTGGTTCAGTTACGGTGAGGTGTTCTGTTGCTTCCGAAGATATGGGACTAAGGTCGGAGGTGAAAGACTTCTGCGTCGATATGCACGGTGCTCATGGCAGCCGCATGTTTCACCGGGGAGCAGGCTAAAGTTCAGGCCGAGCTCGATGCAGTCATCGGAAGGCACCGAGGTAGCTTGATTGACTTCCGTATTGCAGCTCTATGGATTCAATAATGTCTGTACTTAAGCGCCAACCTTCGCTGACCAAGGGTCCCTTCCTCGCCTGCAAGCATTCATCTCTGAGGCTCTGAGATGGAGACCTGTGATTCCTAGTGGTAGGCATCTCCGTTTTCATTTTGTACCTAGGTGTCATAATATTCACACTACAGGATTGCCTCACCGAACAACCAAGGACGTGATTTGGGCAAGTGATGTTTGAACAACCAATCGCGCCTATGATGATTTGGCCCATCAGGAAAACTATTGTATTCCAGCTGGGACTACGGTATTCGGCGACCATTGGTAAGCATTGCGCTTCAAGAAAACACGGATCTAACGTTCACCGCCTTAGGTCTATCTCTCAGGGATCCAGATGTCTACCCGGAGCCTTATGCGTTCAAGCCACAACGCTGGATTGACGAACAAGGTGGCCTGAGAGACGATTTAAAATTATTTGCTTACGGCTTTGGCGGCGGTCAGTACTATTCGCCCAGCCACCCGCTTCTTGAATGACATTCCTTTCAGCGTATGCCCTGGTCAACATGTCGCGAACTAGGTCAAGGTGTATTACATGCATGCGGTCTTCCGAACTCATTTCGATTGGTATAGATCGGTGTTCATATCCACGCTCCTTGCTCTTTGGGCCTACAAGCTCACTCTGGATCCTACGAAGCCATTAGAGGACATGGGGTTCATGGCCGGCTCGACGTCAGAGGTGCCCTGCGCGTTTAAGTTTGAGAAGAGGATTCCGGAAACGGAGCTCAGAAGCATGTTGCAGCATTATCCTGAGGTCGTATGAGACGCTTTAATGCCTGGATGGGTCAGGGAGAAGAACAAGCTCCTTGACCAAGGTCAAGAAGTTCTGATATTTGTGACATTGCCATGGGATCTGCGAGGGCAGCAACAACGGACAAGTGCAGGTATGCCCACGTGGGGTCGGCACACGTGGCGAGGATAAGGTCGTATAAGTTGTACACCTCTGTTCCTGGAACCAATTCACTCGTTAGTTCGAGCATGAGCTGAAGCCGGTCACGGGGATCGTTATGTCGGTCATCGATGAACTTTACCATCGTAGACGCCACGATAAAACGTCTGCCCGCTCTGCTCGCCAGCCGCGCAAGCTGATTTGTCGATGGCTGTGAGAAACTAGGATGGCGACATTGTAGCTCTATGAACGAATGCCTGCAAGAAGGTGTAGATGTCTTTGTTAACATCTGCGCCGTCCAACGAGGGGCATTACAACAACGAATGTTTATGAGTCTCGCGCTCCAACCGTCAGTGCCGATCATGTCGTGGCTGTACATCCTCAGGTGAGGAAGAATCTGATTCTTATAGACATAGATGACCTGATATTCCGAATCACGACGCATAACATTTCAGCGATCTGCACGGTGCGTATACCCGTCACGGTCCACGAAGAATATCAAAGGTTGCCTTGCAAGACACCTTCAACATTGTCAACTTGAAGAAAGACTAAGGAAAATTGTGATCGTATGTAAATGTTGACATCTTGGGTTAATCAACAACTTAGGGCCATCCACACATATGTACTACGTACTTCTTGCAACACCTGACGTTCGCAACTCTTGATACCACTTAGGATAGGCTCCCCTAGGCAGGGAGACAAAGGAAGGCTTGCTCCCCACACCCGTATATCTGAACTTGGTACAGTAGTCCTCCTCTTAGAGTTAAAATTCACCACTGCGATATTTATTCATCCACTCGGCTCCAGCCTGAGCTTTCCCTTTCTGCTTATGCACATCCCTCCCCCTGGGACACGGGGAAGTTGGCTCCGCTTTCTGGAAGCCTGCCCTAGGTGGTGCGCAAGGTCCTCTTCACGGGAAACTTGATGTTCGCTAGGAAAGGGTTATCACAAGAGAGTGCAGAACGGGACGCCGAATACGCATGGGGAATGTATTAACGTTCTCGAGGACATCAATCGTAGGATAGTGATGCATCAATGGCTCGACTCGGGCGCTGAATGTCAAGCTACCACTGTATATAGTGTTCGACTGAACCTCCATCTGCATAGGTCATGAGTCTGGGTGCCCAGCATGCGAGCAAAGCAGAATATGTTGAACTGATTATGGGAGGATCCTTGGACGAGATCCATGTACTGCATCCGAAACAATGCCGTTCACAGGGAATCACAGTCCTCATCAAGTCAGTCACCAGTTGTGACACCATGAATTGAGTTTGACAACGACTACAGTCACCGCATCGAATTGAGAATACAACTTATTATCTATTCTACTTGTCAAATTTGGGTTCACAAAGAGCATCAGTCGAACGGTGCACCTGAGTGATCATAGCAGGGGATGGGGTCCCCAACACCCAGCGGTTGATCTGGATGATTTTGATTTCCTCTCTCGTTGGGATATAAAAAGTTGAGTTTATGTTTGATTAATTCCTAGAGGATGGTTAAAAACGAGTGCACTCCGTATCTCAAAGCACTCACAAATGCCATATAATATATACAAGAAACCTCAGTGACAATACCTTACCGAAAGATCAAAGTAAAGGACAACATCGACCACATCCTACACCTGCCCGGTGGACAGCGGATCATCACCTATTCAAGGGGTGATGACTCATTTCGAGTCTGGGACTTGGAGAGGGGCACACAGGTCGGGGAGGAATGGGAGGACAAAGAAAGAGGAGTGTGCGCCATAGCATTGTCACCGCACGGCCAGAAAGTAGCAAGCGGGAGTTGGGATGGTGCAGTGAGATTGTGGAACGTCGACACGGGCAAGGTTATCAAAACATTAACTGGGCACACAAATCAAGTGGCGTCTGTGTGCTGGAGTCCAGACGGGGGGGGGGGGGAGAGTGGTGAGCGGATCTGCAGATGAAACATTCAGAATATGGGATATCAAGAGCGGAGAAGCCACAATCGGACCAATCAAAACAGGGAGCGGGGTGTGGGCGGTTTGCTACTCGCCAGATGGCAAGAGGATTGCCACGGGCCCTAATGGCGCAACGCTGAAAATCTGGGATGCCAACTCAGGCGAACTGCTCAACAAAATCCAGGTCATCGCGGCAAGTTGGTCCGACGTAGAGGAATTGTTTTGGACCTCAGATAGCAAAACACTTTTCGCCGGGGGATCCAAGATCGACATACCCACATGGACAGTTCTGGAAGGATCCATCCTCAATACCATTTCACTATCTCCCAATGAGCGCATCCTCGCAAGGCCCTTCATTTGTGGGGTAGCGTACCTATATAACGTCGAAACCAATCAGCCCATCGGAGCACCCCTTGACCATGACGGTAACGTGAACTGTATGACCTTTTCTGCAGATGGCAAGTTCCTCGTCACCGGCTGCCACTGGCCGGACCACGGCGGTAATATATACATATGGAATTCCGTGCCTCCAAAAAAAATAATGAATCTCATTATTCTTGGTAACAGCTGTAAAGATGATATGCGCATGTGGAAAGCCTCGTTTTTGAAACTCGATCACTTTGATCAGGTACTTCTTTTCTCCAAATCGAGTGCGTCTCGTTTACAGTGGTGGTGACAATGCGAGCATTGACGAAATAAATGCCATCTTCCGGTGGAGCATTTCTACCTCCAAAGATAAGAGCCAGTTCGGTAACCCAAGGTAAGGTGAGTTTGCCACCTTGAAACGATTATATAATGTCGGCATGGTGGTCCGATCCCGGTTTGAAGCCCGATGACGGAGCTTGAACTTCCCTTTGACATGTCTGCATGCATACCTCGGTATACGACTAAAGATCTACGAGATCGGAACGACATCTGGGCTAGTGTCGTGTCTATAGTGTTATCTGCTCAAGTCCACATTATTTCTATGGCTCAACAATCATCTCATGCAGACAGGGTGGTCTGGACTGACACAGAGACTGATCAGCTTGTTTAATACCTGTACGACAATCGGGAGAAGGTCGCTGACACCAGTAACTTCAAAGATGTAACATACAATGGTGCTGCAGAGGCTATTGCTGTGCACCTGCAGCAGGGTCCACAGAAGACTGGAATGATGTGCAAGACGAAATGGGGAGCAGTAAGTCATATACCAATACATCGCTTAGATATAGACTGATTAGATATTGTATAGTTAAAACAGATCTATAATGCTATTCAGAAGTATCGCCAGACACCTGGTGTCCACTGGGATAATGTCAGAGGAGCCAATATCACGAGCGAGGGTGCAACCACAGTATGGAATGAATATATTACAAAGAAGGTATGTCCGGTTCACAGTGTCATCTACATTTTGTACTGGTAGCTTACTGTTTTATATCTAGGGAAATTCGCACATGCGCCCTTTTTGTGTATCGGGATGGAGATACTTTGAGCAAATGGATGATATCATACCAAAAAACAGTGGCGCGCGAGGGCGTACCGGGTACCAACCGCATACAGCTCCCCCTCCCTTAAGCTCAAGCTCCAGCGCTAGCATACCAGCAGCTGAAAATCATACCATGGGCGCCACCATTGCTACTTCTGGTGTCAGTGCCACTCCTGCTGGTCCCAGCGCCACCCCTGCAGTGGTTGCCCCTACTTCTATTCCTACTTCTCGACGTCCCGCCTCTATTGACAGCAATAACACCCTTTCCACATCCTTAGTATCTCGGCCTAGCTCCAAACGCTCTCACTCTGACATGGTTCAAGAGTCGACTACCTCACTTCCTTCTACCTCGGTTTCTATGCGAGACGAAGACCCTCAGATGCCGCTGCCTCCCTCTAAGCCAGGCTCTCTCAAAAGAGCAAAGACAACATCAGGCCGTGCACAGACTTGGAGCAGTGCCACTGGGGGTGGTGGTACAGCGGATGTCAAGATGTCGAAGACCACCACTGCCGTAGCTGTGATGGGGTTCCAGAGCTCCGTTAACCGCTTAACGGATGTGATTTCTGAGCACATGGTCTATCCCGAGGATCGGGTGATGGACCAGCGCTCAAGGACCATGCAGATGTTGCAGGTTGACTGATGCTGACTTGCCATTCACGGAGCGGCTTATGATGCAACAAGTTTTTGCTATGGACCCTGCAGCTACTGACATATATATACAAACCACTGACAAGGAGATGTGCCATGCTTTCATTATCTTAACGGCCCAGCGGTTGGGAATCCAACCTATGATACTGCCTCCTGGGTCCAATTCTTAGCGGTACAATTGTCTTACTAGTTGCATGAATAAATGAATGAATTGTATGTGCTACTACATCTCGTTGTCGCTGTCATCAAAGGAATCAGTCTGACTGAACCCCGCTGCTGCAAAATGCCTTGATAATCCTCCCACATGCAGCGCAGCAATACAGTTCACGCTGCTTCCTTCATGCTTCCATCCTCTTCAAACTCCTCCTCGTCTTGAGGGATCCCTTGGTGCTCAGGGTTATCATAATCGAAGTGTTCATCGTCATCCGCGTACTCTCCTTCATCAGGTTTGTGGGCGCATATAAAGTTGTGAATCGCGCATAACGCGGCAGGTATACGTGCCTGGATGGTCATAGGATACTCAGGTGACAGTAAGAGAATGCGAAAACGGCGTTTTAACACGCCAAAGATGCGCTCGATCACATTTTCGAGCAGATGTGTGTCGCAAATTGAATAACTCTTCTTTATTGACTGGTCTGCAAACATAGAATAGATATTAGGAAGCTTCAAGTAAAAAGAAATAAAACATACCTGGTATTAGCACGCCCCCACTCAGCTAGATGATACCGGACACTGCGGTAGGGCACTAAGAGCTCGTGACACAAGGGAACCCCGCATCTGCCAGAAAATACTTGCTGGGAGGGATATACAAGCCACCTGAACGAGCCTCATCATAAAGGCGTGCATCTGTAACGGATCCCTCCCAGCCAGTGAGAGCGTAAGAGAATGTGAGGTCGAAGTCGCAGGCGAAGAGACAATTTTGCGAAAGGAATCCTTTACGATTCCGATATGCAGGACGATCAAATGATGGGGGGTGAGCGTGGATGTGACTACCGTCAATTCGCGCCAACAGTGTCCTTAAAATAGGGCCAGAGCTTAGGGTCATTACGGATCTTGTGTGGGGCGTGGTAGGTGTCGTCAGGAGAGCGTACATGATTGGTGTAGAATGGGGGAGATGCGAAAATGGTCAACATCTTGCGGAAATATCTACAATTAAGTGTGAGCTCGTTAGTATCATATATAACAATAACAATTGACTTACTTTGAGATGGTATCATTAGACCGTTGAAAGCGCTCACCAACATGGCGGACGGTCAGTCCCGTAACACACGTGTATAGGAAGATGGCGAGTTGTTCTTCGAGGGAAACATAGCGCGAATTTGCATGACCCAAGGTGTGAAGTTCCGCTATAAGCGAGTGAAATACATCTGTGTGCATCCCAAGTTCACAGCGCATACGCTCTGGGTGGCCCAAAATGAGCTCCATGACCCACCCTTGACCTGAGAGGGCCGATGTGTGATATGGCTCGGGTATAGAGTCTTCTAGCAAGGACTCTGTAGCAGTAAGAAGGACACTGACAACCAGTGCAATATGTTGGAGAATTCGTGCGTGATCTCGCTTGGATGCCCTGACCGCCTGGCGGCTGAGCAGCCTGAGCCAGAGTCAGCTGTTGGATTAATGGGTTGATGGCATCCATCAATACAGTGAGCAATGGTCTGATAGATCATCGATAACGAGTCTAGTACTACTGATATTCAATTGAGACTCAGTCATCGGCATCTACAACGCCGACATTATATAATCGTTTCAAGGTGGCAAACTCACCTTACCTTGGGTTACCGAACTGGCTCTTATACTTCAATTACCTTCTAACGCAAACAGCGAAGTCCAAGCTCAAACCCAACGACTTCGCAGGCACCAATTCGACTGCAAAACTGACACTTGGAATAGAGAAGTCGGGTATGCCGACGATGCTTATTAGAGGCGTTCGTATACAAGCGCCGATTTCCGTGAAATTTGGTAATTAAACCAGAGGGTTATGAGTAAGCTTCGGACTGCCATTGTTTTACTCACTTGTTGCTTTCTTTCCAGGAAGACACCTAACTCGATAGAGTGCGCTACATACCCAATACACAGATCAACCCCCCTTTTCCTAGCTAGTAATGTCCTACATAGGGTATCTCACCCCAAATGGATAGAAATTGGATTTTTAAAAAACAACAACACAGATCGATGTCTTCGCATGCGCCGCTACGACCCATTAGCATCGGGAAATCACTGAATAGCAGTGACTTACTGCTATTTACTTGATAGTCAGCTATCGTGGGCTATCACAAGGCAAGAATGTGCATTGCTCAAACTCAATGCGAGACTTCGAGGCATTGTAGAATTCATCGGCACTCATCTCAAGAAACGTAGCTTCAGTTTCCCCGTTCGTCGCGAATTCCGATACTGGTCGATCTGCAGCGCGTTTCTAGACAAGACAAGTATGACCGAGTGCATGAGTCGAGATAGCGGAGCGCTTACCCACAAAAAGTAACCTCTCCCACAAGTGAGAGCAACGACTCAATACGTTTCATGTGAAATTTCCTCAACGGTGTGTCCGTCTCAAAATCTAACACCGCTATCCGGAAAGATGCCACCGCTAGCATCGCCAAAAGATAATCAACTTCTCGTTTTTTTAGTGTTCCGACCAAAGTCAATTTTCGGAGAAACGGGAAGATGAAGGAGGCTGAACATGTCGATGAACTCTTGCCAGTAGTGATGCGAGGAGGGGAGGGGGAGGGTCATTGACTCAAGTGTCGCTGAATAACTTCTAGCGCCAGGACCATCGAACAAGCATATTACATCAACCGCGATGGTCTCCAGATGAGGGAAATAGGTTACAGTAGAGCATAAAGCACACACGGAAGCGTCCTGGAGGTGGAGATGACGTAGATCTTTGTAAGATGGGATGCACATTCTGGCTAGGGAGACCAGATAACAGTGATTGTTGATGTATAGGCGAGAAATATTTGGTGCATAGAATTTGGTGAGATCATAAAAATCACATTCCAAGGCTCTCAACCGAGGTGTGTCGATGTTAAGATTCCAGTTACACGTGGGTGGCATAACGACCGTTTCCCAACGCTTGCTCTCAGAAAGGAGGATGTCGAGAAGTCGAGAGTTTGTCTCTGTTATCCAAGAGTAGTTACGGTTATGGGAGCAACGCTGGTAGCATGGGGGATTGTTAACAATGCGAAGGGTGAGGGGCAAATTACCAGAGCGAGCAAGCCAACACTGGAGAAGATGTGGAAGAAATGGTCTGAATGATGTAACTTCCCCGGGGAGCGCGATCTGGATGCGCGACCAGACTCCTGCCGTTGAATGTGCAACGACTCGCCAAAGGTGGCACACCCTTGTCAAGACTAGGGGAGGGCTGGCAACGTTGACCGAAATGGTGTCATATCCGCATGAAAAGATACTAGGATAGTCTGGCGCACTGTTAACGATGAACAAGAAGATTTGTTGTAAAAGTTCCACTGGCAGCCGATGGATGTGCGGTTCTGTCGGCGTCACGCCGACAAGAGAGATTGAACGAAAGAAGGACGATGCAAGAATTTCACAGAGCACTTTCATGCGTTCCTTGCTAAATGTTTTCATCGATGTGGGCGTCATTAGGAGACCCGGTGGTGTGCGAAAGTGCACCGGGTCCGTGTTCCGGGTACAGGGGCAATGTTAGTCACATCCCTGTGAGTTGGCCCGTGCACGGCCATCATGGAGACACTCGAGGTCTTGGCATCCATTACTAGGGTGGGTTTAAATGTATGAGGTTCCGTGACTATCGTCTGACCTGCGAATGCCTGGATAGCTGAGCGATCGCGTAGTGAGAGTGTTGGGCCAGGTGAGTGTCATCCTGCAAGCGTGCGCTCCCAATGTCACTCTCTTCCACAGAACCCGGGAAAATTCACACTTCAAGGTAACTTTTAACCGCTTTCTTCTAAGTCCAGGCTCAAATCAAACGGCTCTACAGGGACAAACACCTATCTTATCGGCGAGCGCAACCCCTACACGCTCATTGACACCGGCGAAGGCAAAGACGCCTACATTCCTCAGCTTGAATCCGCCCTCTCCGATACCTGCAAGCTCACTAACCCAAATGAACCCCACATATCCGACATCATCATCTCTCACTGGCATCAGGACCACACAGGTGGGCTCAACTCCGTCCTTTCGCTCTTGCGGAGAATGTGGGATGAGCGCAGCACACCGGCTCAGTTCAAGCCGCCCCGTATCCATAAATTCCCCTTTGTGAACGTGTCGTCTAACTCTAACACAACCATTGCGCTACCACCCCCGGGTACATACACCCCCACCGCCAATGGTGCTTTCCTGCACGACCTCGTACACGGCCAGCTTCTCCCCATAACCGGCTCACCCTCGCCCATGCGAGTCATTCACTCCCCAGGACACACCACCGACTCCATCTGCCTCCACGTCCCCGACGACCACGCCCTCTACACAGCTGACACCGTCCTAGGTCAGGGAACAGCGGTATTCGAAGACCTAGGAACATATATATCCTCCCTGCGCGGGCTCCTTGCATTTCAATCCGATTACACTGTGTTGTACCCTGGGCATGGCCCTGTCGTCGCTGAGGGCCCTAAGCTTATCGGTACATACATCGCGCATCGTATGGAGAGGGAGGCGCAGATTGTCAACGTCATTGAGAAACCTGGTCCTGACGGGCAGCCTTGGTCTACGTGGGGAATTGTATCCACGATATATTCTGCGTACCCGCAGAATCTATGGGAGCCCGCCGCACGAAGCGTGAATCAGCATCTTGGGAAGCTTCAAGTCGAGGGCAAGGTGAAGAGGGTTGGGGGCGAGGGCAAGGACGTCAAGTGGGAGCTGCTAGCAAAGCTATGAAAGAAGACGGCGAAGGGCCCGATTTTAGTCCACATTCTATCAAAGCAATAGGAAGAATATAGCATGAACTAGATCGTGCATTCAATGTAATATACAAGTGTCATATAACGTGAAAATCTCGCGAGCACACGTACATCCGCCGCTGTTACAGCGCATCAAAATTGATATGATGCGATGCCCTCCTCCGCTCTAGCTCATCCTCCCTCTTCTCATTCAGGCGCAGAACGAAGACGATGCCTGCTAAAATGAAAATTGCAGCCACAACTGTAAGCGTTACCCATGGGACCCAAGCCCCTGGCCGAAGGAACAGCTCCCTTCGCCATGCCCCATCACCAAGAGCAGGGTGGATGACGACGCGCGAGTTCGGAATGACGCCTTCCATATTGATGAAATGTTTTTGCGTGTGTTTGGTTGAGCCGACAAACAGGTTCTCGATGTAATTGTTGGTGCGCCCGAGCCCGAAGAATGAATATGGCGTCAGAAGGGAATGATAAGAAGTTTGAGGAAGCTGCCCAACTTGAGCAGCGGTACGACGACCAGAAGGTGTCGAGAACAGTATATTTATACGATGCACCAGAGTAGCTCACGCCGAAGGGCTGCAACTACATTAGCGCAGTCCCCCACGAGATTAGGGAAACACTCACGGAGTACGTCGAGCCGTTTGACTCCGTACACAATCCGTTATTACACGCACCATTTAGCACTGAGCGAGGTATGAGCGCATGGCAATCATGAAGATATAGATATATTCTTCCTCACCTATAGCATTCAAAAAGAACGCATCATAATAAAAGTTGTTCTGGACAAACAACACAGTGCCTTGATTCTGGTGCCCACTTCGCTGCACGATGATATCTAGCGTACCCTTGCATGCAGGTAAGTTCAACTCCATATGTAAGATCGAGAAAATAAATACTCACATCCTCGTCCATATCTAAAAACGAGACTCCGCGTGCGTCCTTCACAGCTTCCAAAGGTTCAGCGCCCTTCGTGACGAGTTCGAAGCCCCTCTTTCCCTTCCCTTTTTCATCGCATCCTCCCAGGCCTTTGGCACAAGGCTCGGAAAATAATAGTTTGGGTGTACGCGACTGATCTGAAGGGTTCGAGACAATGAGAAGAAGATCCGGAAAACCATCAAGATTTGCGTCTCCGAGCTTGATGGGCAGAGGGATAGGCGGAGAATACGTGGTATCGAGGACTAGAAGAGAGCTCGCGGGAGAGGAAGGAAGAAGGTTCGAGAGCGGTATCTGTACGTATGCCTGGGGTATACTAAGTAAGGCTACGGAGTGCAAAAAGTAGGGCAGCGACGAACGTCGTTTTCGCTTCCTGTACTCAAATCGAACTTGAAGTTGGGGTCAGCGGTGCACAGCTCCTCTGGTCGCCGACACGTTCGATTTCCTTGCCTGTCTATGGCGGGGGATGTCGAGGAAGTACACAGCGGCAATTGTTTGTTGTACACTATGTTGATAAAGCAGCCAGAGCCCACGCCGGCTGAGGAAACGGATGAGCATGAGGGAAATACCATGTCGATGGTACCATCCCTGTCTGTCTATAGATTAGTACAGGTCGGAGAGGTGAAAGAGGGGGTACAAACCGACGTCAGCAAAAGATATCCCTTGTGTCCCAGAAGGCAGGTCGCCGCTCTGGTCTAACGAAAATCCAGAGTCCTTGTTATTGACCCAGATCTGGTATGACTTCTTCCCCGAACTATCCTGGCATACCAGAAAGATATCTCCAAACACAATTGCTAAGTTGACGAATGGTATAAAGTGGTCGTACATACCTGCTAAACAATCACCATTGAGATCGATCACAGCATTGCTGTGAGGATTGGCGAGCGTGCACTGGTTTCCAGTAAACGGAGGGTCAACACTATCTCATAGTCAGCTGAAAGATGCTGCACGCAGCCTGAGACCCTTACAGTTCGAACAGCTTTGGCGGGCTCTGCGACGCATTCCACGTGTTCCGCCAGGCTGTGAAGGGGCCGGTATAAGTTCTCTGCGAATATGCAGTGCCTAACAGGTCGATTTGCATGTCTCCATTGATATCAACTGGTATAGGTTCTGAGAGCGTTGAAGATGGGACTGAAATATAGTCTGATGCTACAAATTACGATTATAGTGAAACGTTGGGCGCGAGGGAGATAGGACCCACCAAATGTGCCGTCGTGATTGCCCACGTAGAGCGTCATGTCTAGCCTGTCTGAGGAACCGCGATTTGAGCTCATGACAAGCACGTCGAGCTTGCCGTCATGTGTAAAATCGCCTGGGATGACATTATAGATAGGCCTCGGGTGTCGTACTGATGATACCTTCTTATATGAAAACGCATCTACCGGGAGTAGAGTGATCAGAGGGAATATTTATGGGGTGCACTATTATCTAACCGTGTTGCCAGAGGTACACAGACAAAGTCTGCTGGTCCGAGTCTACCGACAAGAGGTCCAAGCTATTGGAACGAAAGATTTAATGTATCATCCATAGATAAACACATATGTAACCCACAACTTGTCTCCATTAAAGTCTCCAAATGCGACTACCCGATCCCCGTCATTAATGCCTACTGAGCCAGCATCTAGAAGCGAGTTCTTCGTGAAACGTTTCGGCGAGAATGGCCATATTGATGCTACGGGTGACGAGAGCAGCAATAGGGTCAATGTCAGGTATGCTGGAATGGATAGTAATGGCTGGTGTCTTTGTGCGCTCCAAGACTTGAAGGATGAGCTAGCCATGGTAAATCCAGAGTCACACTAACCAGCTACTGAGTGTGGCAAAGTTATTCTGTTACTTCTGGGGCGAGGGTGCTGCAGCCACGGAAACCCTGAAAAACTTGACACGCGCTCTTCTGGAGGGGGTAATATTGAAAGAACTACGCAAGTTTGATGACAGAATGAGGCAAACACGCATATTCTCCTCACGTGATCTACACAGGTACCGCCTCCCTTTCTTTTCCAAAATTAATGTTCCTCTGAGTCTCCATGTCTCGTATCTACCAGCAGTGAACCTTGACGTATCATTTCGAACTCGCTAAGTTCTCGGCTCCTCAATCTTGTCCAGGGCCCGGGATTACTCTTTGAGTCTTGTTTGGTAGTAATTGCCGATACTCGGACTTAGCTTGAACTACCACATAGGGCCAAAATACAGCCGTTTGTTTCTGCTCGTTCCTCAAGTCTTGCACTGTGAGTACTTTATCATTCTCATGATGCTCTCCAAGGCTCAGGCTCACCGACCTCTTTTGCTGCGTAAATATTGCGATTGTAGTTCTACACAATATTGATTGTGTTGTACACTACATATCTGATGGCTGCACATAATGCATTATGCCCCACCGTGGCAGTTCCGCCAGCATTTTAGGACCACTTCGAGTTGATCCTACCAGTATGTGCAACAGGAACGACTTGCTATGGTACGACTTGAACCACTCAGGCTCTGCAATATCGATCAGTCTTTTCTGGCCGTAGCGAGGATCTTTTTATGTTCATTCAGCTTCTCAATACACTGTGATGAACATGAACACAAACTCCTCTCGAATGTGTTCCACACGTACAACTGCATCTTGATTTCGGATATGCGCGCCCTTACAAACTAACAGGAGCATGATGAGTGCCACCTAGTCAGCTTTCTAGCATCGTTCACTGTGAAGAACCTGAACACAGCCGACAGTCCTCTTTGTTGGGAATGGAATAGGCAACAAACTGAATTATGTGAGTTCATGGTACCTTGTGATCATCTTTCGGGCCTTACTCGATTCCTTCGGACAACTTCAAATACTGAGCAAACAAAGTCCGGAGTCCGGACACCCTCACGGCATTCATGATTGAAAAGACCCCGACTCTAGTACATACTCGATCAATCTCACGATAAGAGCGTGGTTGAGTACAGTTGAGTAATACTAGGCTATGCAGAGTCAAACTAGTGTGCCATCTTGTAGTGCTATGCGATTCAAAGTGCAACGATGTGATCATGAGTTTCTGGTATGCGGTGAAAGACTGTGTCAGTGCATTCGTCACACGTCACAGGGCTTGAACATTTGGAATGCACTGTCACGCGCAGATCCCTAGCTGACTTATATAGCAGCGGTTAAGGTTAAGGCTAGCGTAAGTATTAGTCCGACACCACATTGATCAATCCGATCCTCCTCACCACATAACGTGGGAGAGGGCACCAATGGCACGCGGCGATGTCAAACGATGTCAAATTGTTTGTGGAGTTGTTTGTCCATGTCCGTGTTTTATGTGGCAGCGGGCACTCTCAGCGCTACTCCGAGTCCATCGACGGTAGACCAGACTAAAACAGATGCATCGGGCTCTACTCATTCCCGAAGTCTTCCTTGAAATATTCGCGCATGTTAATCAAATCCTGAACCCGTCGTCTACTGGTGAAAAAGCACTGGCTCAGAAATCCATTGCAGCGCTTGCAAGAACATGCAAAACCTTTCACGAGCCCGCCATGGATTTGCTGTGGTCTAAAGTAGATCAGTTAGAGCCATTGCTAGGCTGCGTAACGAGGCTACATCCGCTGATATATCATAGGGGTTCAAGGGTCAGTGTTCAGCCGTTGCGCTCTATTTTTTTTTTCAAATCGGCTAACCGAGCGTCCGAAAAGTGGGACAACACTTGGTCAAATGGCGTCGAACCGTTATCTGCCTATGAGGCCCGTCAATTTCTGCGTCACTCCGCACGCGTTCACTCATTGAATGTACAATCCGATCACTTTTTTCACCTTCTCTCGGTCATCCCCATCGAAAAGTGCGTCTTCCCGAGGCTGCGGAAGTTAACTTGGAAGCTTTCTACTGGCAAATATTTGAACCTATTCCTGTCCCGCACGCTACACCGTTGTTCCTTATTCACTATCAATCAAGACCTGAAGAATATTGTGACACGTTGCGCTGCTTTGGAGGACCTATCTATCAAAAAAATAAATTTTGATGCGAGCACAGCAGATGAGCTGTCCCTGCTGTCTGACAGTGTCCGTCTATGCAAACAGCTTGTGACTCTGTCTTGTCCACCGCTCGACTGGGCAGCATGGGAGCACCTCTCCAACATCCCTAGCCTAGTTAGGGTAGGAGTCCGTGATGTGCAGATCCGTGGTGCCCCTCCTTGGTCATTGGAACGCGATATCGCTTACCCTACACAAATCCTCAACGTCACAGCTCTCTCTTTGCAGGTTTACAGTGCTGGATACATTGTCGCAGTCATGCAACACTCACAATTCCCCTCGCTGACGGAGCTCAAGATAGAAACCGACCTTCTGTCTTCGGAAGAGGCAGAGCAATTCTTTCGTGCACTGTCCAACTGCAAAGCATGCCAGACCTTGCAACAACTTGAAATCACCATTATTAGCTTTGGTCCCAGGTCTGGACATCAAGGCGGCCCTTTGACAGCCATTCCACATCTCCTTTGCTTCACACAGCTCCGAATTCTGCGGCTTGTTTGCCGTTTTTCCTATATCTACCTCGACAATGGCCTTCTCTTGGAAGCCACGTCAAATTGGCCGCACCTCCGCACTCTGGAAATAGAAGGCTCGTGTCTTCATCCTTCTACCGTTACATTCTGCGGATTATTCACAGCGCTCCGCCTGTGTCCACACCTGCACACCCTGCGAGTGTTGATTGATCCCGCGAACCCCAACATCGGTCCTAACAACATACAACATACCTCCCTAAAAACAGTGGACTTCGACACCCTATCTCCCATAGCGAATACCGCAGATGTAGCTCGCATCATTTTCAACGCGCTCCCTTGCGTTGACCAAGTTAACCGGTTTACGATGCACACGAAGGAGTGGGATGAGGTCAATAGGCACCTCAAATATTTGAAAGCTGTTGCGCTGCACGTCGCAGGGCCCGCCTCGAGTCTATGATATACTCATGTTTGGTAAATATCTTGGAGTTCCCACATTCCGTCGTGTCCGTTCTTGCATGCTTTGTCGTTGTATGTATAGTCGATGTTTACTATGGTTGCAATTGTTTTCTCCCCTCTGACCGCTACATTGCTGTGTTGTCTGTTTTCGTCGCTCTAACCCATGTTTGTCTTTTCACGCATTTTTGTAGAGTATCTTGTATTTGTTTCCATTGCACAGAACTACATAGCTAAAGAACCTGTTGAACAGCGACTTATCTTCCTTCCATCGGTCTGCCTACGGAAGACTAGAGAGGGACTCGCTATGAAGCAGAACGGCTTGGTGCACTGGCGGTTCCTTCGCGAGCATCCACCGGTTAAAGTAAATGTTTAGAGACGTGACTCTACCTGCAGACGATGAAGAAAACCAGGCCACACCCGTTGCGGTTCCGTTCCAGAGACGTCTTATATCATAGTCATAGATCTCGATGGATGCTTTTCTGCTCCAGAGGTAGCAAGACTGATTGAGCTGCTGACGAAGTTGCTCCTGGGTCAAAACTCGGGGGCTGAACATTCCATATCCACAACGACAGAGTCAAGCGCTGAAGTATGTTGACCGTCATCACGAAGGTACGTGATAATTACGTTCGATGGGATTCTCATGTCCCTGTAGTATTTCATCATGCTTAGAGCCATTGACCGTCGCTGAAGCGTTTGATGTCTGTAGCAAAGCAGGTAATGGCTCACTGCCAACATGTGGCTTTGACTCACCACCAATTAGCCTGGGATTTGTTCACCGAAGTCCTAGCACAGGAAATCCTTCCCGCTTGGTGAGTAACTGAAGAGTCACAGATATGCTTAGCAGTCGCCGAGTGCTAAATACTGAGTGGTCATACACTATGATACAGTCTGTGACTGTCCACCCGGTTTGAACGCGCACAGTGGCACACACCTTGTAACAAAGAAGATGCGTGCTGAGATGTGTGCGTTCATTGGGAGCGATGCGCTGGCGTCGAGGCGGTGACAAGGCGCATTTGGTCGGTGACGCGGATGGATGATGAAGCTGAGACCCGCGCAAGGGCGTGTAGGAGGGTATTTGGAGCGCGTGCACGCAAAGATTGGGTGACTGCAGGTTGAGCTAATGTGGAATATGAGTATATGAGTACCAGTCTTGTGGCCTCCCATGAAAGTTGTATTTGTACATCACTGAAAACCAACCAGCATGCGTATTAAATGAATCGAATTCCGTTATGATTGTCATAGCGGGCTCTGCCGCGGGCGACCCTGCACGTCGTGTGGTATGCATGCATGCATTCACTATGTTATGTATGAAAGAACACTCTATCAGTACAGTAAAAATATTATTCCACAACAAGAGCGATTATTCCTTCAGCGGGTTCAGTTGGCAGCAGATGGAGGAGTGAATCCCTACTAGGTCACCCTTATATGAGGCTTTACTAAGTAACAAGAGAAAGAGCCTGATGAGTTCATCAATTATTTTAAGTTTAGCGGTGGCCCGAAGGCCACTCCCAGAACTTGGGACGAGGTATTTTCAACCTGTACAAGGGCATATAGTTGTGGGTCGGGTCACTTCCGTGACGCGTGAAACCATATTTGGCTTCCGAAGACCAGGTAAAATCGACTGTTTTTCCAGCAGCGACAGCTGGTAAAACAGGTTCGGTGGCTTTGAGTGTTACAGAAAAATTTTCCGCTGCTGCGTGAAGTGTGAACAGCACAGAAGTTCGATTTGCACATACCGGACTTACTCTGGTCCGACATATGCATCATATATGCTGCACAAGATATAACTTCGGTGACGATGTACTTCCCTTTCAAGATACCAGGCATGGACTTCAACAGCCTGATGATGCGTTCGTCATGCGGAAGGCTAGTGTATCTTGGCTTGTACATGACCAACACAGCTGCTGGCTTGTTACCGTCGAACTGCAAATCGATTTTGAAGACATTCATTGCACTCTGCACGCCTCTGTAACACAGTCAAATATATGAGCCAAGCACTACAATGACACATACGCTTCAGGATATTCGTAATTCTCCTTGCTAGTGACACCCCATGATTTGATGATGAAATGATCGTCCCCCGCTTCCTGTTCATTGGGGCGAAGTGCCGGATCTGCTAGGTCAATGTTGAGCTTGTATTTGGATGATTTAAGCTGCTCCTGGAAATGTGGGCTGTATATGTTTCCTTCCCAATCGAATTCCCCGGTTTCATTGATGATCGTTCCATAGTCGCCCACCTGTGTTTGTCAGGTCGATTGAAACAAAGTAGCGTTGTTACATACTGCAACCCTTCTTGTTGGATCCCAGTTAATCCACTTGGATGTAGCACGCTGAATGAGGTCGATGAATCTCCGTGATGTGTACTTCATCCCAAGATACAGCAAAGCTACTTTTCCCCACGTTACTAGTGGGGTTCTCGGTTCAGGCCACACGAATGTGTGGGAAAATTCTATTGCTTACTCACCCGGCTACTGTGACTCAACTTCTCCTGTGAGTCTGTGACAGTGTCATGAAAATTGCATCCATCAACGCGCCTATAAAACACGGTGGTCTGTATTTTCACTTCGAGATTACAGGCTTAGTATGCTTAGTATGGAGGCATCCCCATCCCTCGGTTCCTGGTAAACAACCCTTTGTCTAAGCCACTCGGGCCGATAAGATGATTGTCTGACTTCCGACTCAGAGTCCTTGAAGAAGATCGGAGACAGCTCCCTGGCACTGTTGTACTCACTCTTCAATGCTTTTGTTCTGACCCGTCAACATCTTAAATTGCTAATGCTCTTCTGCATATTCCTTTTTTCTGGCTTTTTTGGTAATGTTTTGCATTTACATGGACTTGGCGTGGACTTATAGTTAGTCGGTACAGAGGTGCCTCCATATTTTTAATATCCGAGACAAAGACTTCTGACATGTCGTTGAGCAGATTCCCTCCTACGGCAATATCCTCAAGACTGAGAGAACCTCACAATGTCAGAATTAGACTATTGATTCTGCAATAAAACTTCAACTGTATAGTGATCATACAGGTGGTGATCAAGCCGTTCCGAACTTCCGATGCAAGCCTCGAGGCCACTTGAGATATCCGAGTCTGGAACGTGTCTGCATCGAATGTGTTTGCGGATAAGGGTTCTGAACTTCTAGGAGCTGAACAAGCCTCTTATTGAGACAGTGGGGAAAACTAGCGACACAGTCTGGCTCTCGCTGATAACACTAACCTGGACCGTGACAAAGAGTTACGGATCGTTATCATGGGGGCAGGCAAGTAAGTTTGCACGTTCCGGCACATTCGAGATGCATGCGGCAACGTAACATCCCGTTGATAAGCCATATATATGCATTAGCGACTAGCACTCGTTCTAGGCCATTTTGATCTCGTGGCGACCTGGGGTGCGTTACGAAAGATGATGAAAAACAAGCTGAGTAGAAGAGATATCGGGTCGCACAGTTAACTATGGTGCAGGATAGTACCAGACGCATGGTTTAAACGAAGGGATCGATTGTATATGACAAGGGTTTATAGAGGGGGGCAGTGATGCCAGAAGAAGAGCAAATGAGATCCATGCCGTAGCCGCGTGGCATGGATCCATCAATCACCGTGGATTATCGGACGAGTGCCTAGTAAGTACTACATGAGTTGGGTGATGGGCAGAAACCATACTACTCACCACCTAACTTACTAGATCGACGAAGTAGCCACGTCCCAAAAGTATGTTCCTCCTCAGTCTCAAATGATATTGACCGTCTATTTCTGTGTCTAGGTCAACGTGAAATATTAAATATGTTTCATGCAGCAAGAAAAGCGTATCTTGCTGTGAGAAGGCGCTGGGCGCCGGCGCAGACTTTAAGATCACAACCGGTGCAAATGTGGGCGATGGAAGGGCACACGGGCTTTGTAATGACAGCCGCGTTCTTCAAAGACAGTCGACGAGTTGTCACTGGCTCATGGGACCATACCCTGCGAATCTGGGACGTGCAGAAAGGAGAATTAGTAGGAGGGCCATTCGAAGGACACAAGGAAGGGGTGCGATCAGTAGCCATATCACCAGACGACAGGCGAATTGCAAGTGGTGGAAAGGACAATACCATCATCGTCTGGGACGTCGAGAGCAAGAAGATGGTATTCGATCCGCTGGTGAAGCATAAGCCGAGGTGTGGTCGGTGTGCTTCTCGCCCGATGGGAAGAGACTTGCAAGCGGTTCGGGTGATTGCACTGTTGTAGTATGGGATGCAAAGACTGGCGCAGTTCTCGCGACACTCCACGGTCATCGTCATACTGTGCACAGTGTCACATTCAGACCAGATGGGCTAGAATTAGCCTCCGCATCATCAGACCATACTATCCGAGTGTGGCGCACCAGTAACGCCACACTTTGTCTCGCGATCGACACTCATGATTCGGTTCGAAGCGTTGTGTGGTCGCCTGATGGGCAGCAACTTATCTCCGCATCAGTCTACGATAAGAGGATCAAGTTCTGGAACTCATCTAACGGAGTCCCGATCGGTCGACCATCCACCGGTCACACTAACTACATCAACTCTCTCGCCATATCTTTTCACGACTCCTTCATTGCCACCGCCTCGGACGATACGACTGTGCGGCTGTGGGACACAAAGGCACATCAGCAGATAGGACAGGCACTCCAACACACCGCCCGGGTTCGTTGTATCGTAATTTCTCCTAACGGAGAACTTCTCGTGAGTGGAGATGGTGAAAGGGTGCTACTCTGGTCTATCAAGGACGAGGCGGAAGGAAGGATCAAGGATGATGAACAAGCACAACATCAGCAACCCCTTACTATCCGTGACACTCATGTACGTTTAAGTCCCTATTCATCATGATTGTTCTGCCTTTCTGTTTGTTCACATTATTTTCGGCGGCGACACACAGCTGCGTAGCCACGACACTAACGACGAGCCCACTGGCATTAGCGACAGTGCAAGTTATTACTCTTTGCCATTGGACCAAGCATCTAGTAGTGATCGCACCCACTCATTATTTGACGTGAGCTGCTTACTTCCGATGCATCCACTTATGTCGGAATTTAGGTTTGCTTCATTTAGTTCCTTGGTATAAACACGACGGTCCACAACGCATGCATTTCTGGGAACCTGCCCGCCGCTGAAAAACTGCTGACCCAAGACATCGACGCAGACAGCAACAACCACAACTCTTATGCCACTCGCTCAGTTGTATTGACGCAAATCTCCGAGTGGGACAAGGCACTTCAAGACTCGTTCAAGGTCAGATGTTCTGCATTTCATGGTGCTGTTCATGTTGACTATTTGGAGATATAGTCCATTGCCATCCGGCCTTCTTTATTGGGCTACATTTCCAAGGGCATCGCCCTCTGTGGCAACCAGCAGTTCTCAGACGCCACAGAAGCTTTCGATCTCGCTTTCGTATTTTTGGACCGTGGTGCGCTTACCGTCGGTCTTTTACTATTGATCAAGGTTCTCTCCTTACTGCTGTCATAGTCAGCCTGTCATGCTAAGACTTCCGTGTCATTTTGTCTAGGCTGTCGCACTTTTCAATGGCAGTCATCGTGATGAAGCAATTCGGCGTGTTCAAGACCTCGCCACCGCTTGTCAACACCCAGATGCTCTTTTGTGCAGTGTCGTTCAAGTGAACTTTATGTTACACCTCATGAGTTTTCTCACTCTCTAACACACAAATTAGTTGTATCTACGTGTGCAGCTTGCGATAATTGCTTTTGAGGACGGGCGGTACAGCGAAACCGCTGATCAACTCAATGATGTTGTTCCTAGCATGGCCGACTTGTTCTCTCACAGTGCAATCTTTGAACCTAGATTGAAGATATTTACGGTGGTGTGTCACTACAAAGTCACAAAGCATCCTTTCACTGATTCAATCGGGACAGCTCTTCGGCTGGGACATGGATTCGTTATGGCAAACAGGCAACCAAAGGCGGTGTGACGCACTACTCTGCACTGATCAAGTGATCGAAGCAGTTGAATCTTACCAATACATGATGCTCATGATTGACGAGGATGCAAAGGACAGTGACCCTGGATGGACCATCGGTTAGTGTTTTGAGGTCTTGGGCAATTCGAACATCGACATTTACTCTGGGGTTATTCAGTCTTCAAGAAAAACTGCACTGCTCGCTGTATCACAAAGGGAGATGAGGCTATTACTGCGAGCAATTATGAGAGGGCCATTGAACTATATTCAACTGGAATCGGACTGGACTCCTCATGTGAACCCCTCTTTGCGCACCGCAGCAAGGCAAATTTGGAACGATACCGATATGTGGACGCCCTTTCTGACGCGAACAGGGTGCAGACGATCTTAATTCTTTGTCTCCCAACTGTACTGATATTGCTGATGCACAGGTCATTGAACTCAACCCTTCGTCGTATCTTGGGTACGAACTGAAGTATGTAATACTTCATGCGATGGAACGCTATGATGAAGCATTCGAAGCTATCAATATCATGCTCTCCAAGTCGGACGCCACCCATGCACGTGTACAAGGTAAGCCCCGAACGACTTGTGCATCAATGTGAACATCACGAGCACTTTCTGCAGAGCTGCACCAGCAGTATGTCAATCGATCTCAAGTTGAAAACATGATTAAACAAGCCATTCACACGCAACTAAAAATGCCCCGCTCCGTCTGCTCAATACCTCCACCGGGTGTTTATACAATCGAGAGGCACAGATCAAAGCCTTCATGGAAAGCAGAGAGTACCAGGAGATTTTACCTTCGTCGATAACCTATGCGCCCCTCCAAGAGAAGTCCGTCAAAAAAGCGGTCGCGAAGTACTTCAGTTGGGTCATGCTATCGCATAGATGGGAAAGTGGGGAGTTACCGCTACACCACATTCAGGACAAGAGCGTGTACGATTTGGATTCAGTTGGAATGGCGGTGAAGTTACAAAAGTTCTGCGAAGTCGCTCGTGATGCAGGGCATCGTTGGGCATGGTGCGACACATGCTGCATCGACCAGAATAATAATATCGAGGTCCAACGATCAGTCAACTCTATGTTTGTCTGGTATCGCGACTCAGCACTCACGATCGTTTACCTCTCGGACGTTCTGCCCTCAGCGCAGTCGGGTGCGTTGGCGGACAGTGCTTGGAACACGCGAGGATGGACTCTTCAGGAATTCTTGGCTCCTAAGATCATTCCATTCTACCGAAAAGACTGGACCTTATATCTCAATGACAGCTCTCCCAACCACAAGGAGTCTGGGGTCATCATGGAGGAGTTGAATGAATCGACAGGCATAAATAAAAAAACCTTCGCTACCTTCCATCCGGACATGACAGGTGCAAGAGAAAAGCTGCAATGGGCGTCGATGCGTGTCACGACGTTGCAGGAAGACATCGCATACTCATTGTTTGGGATTTTCGGCGTCCACCTACCTCTCCTCTACGGCGAGATGAAGCAAAATGCACTCGGTCGACTCTTGCAGGAGATCGTGGCTCAGTCGGGCGACATTACTGCGCTAGATTGGGCTGGAAAATCATCCGATTTCAATAGCTGTCTCCCAGCTGACATTTCCTCGTACAAACTTCCACCCTACACACCGCCATATTTATCCGACGATCAGATTCAGACGTTGGTCTCATCGCTCAATGCAGCTGTTGTGGAGCAGGCTTTTACGCTGTATACCAAGCTTGCCAAGCTGAGCATTCCTCGTTTCACGAACTGCAGGTTGCGATTGCCTTGTATCACATTCCCTGTCACTAACGTCAAACGGAGAGGCGGTCAAGACCGGGAGTCGTGTTTCACTTGTGATATCAAGGCGAACGGTCTGCACGACCTGTCGATCACCACTGGAGACAGACAGATACTCTTATTCGCAAAGTACCCTCGACAGAAATTCTTGCTCATCCGTCCGTGGAATCGCTATGACCTTGACCCCACAGACGAGACCCAGACCATGAACGGTTTGTCAGAGGTTGCGTCTTCATCGGACGAATTCATCAGCAGGCATTCTGGAGATGATGAGTCAGATCTTTCGGCGTTTCATCAGCGAGCCTCAAGCTTGGTCGTTCGCCTAGGACAGCCTTTCTGGGCACTGTTGCTTATGCAGCAGCGGGGTGGGGAGTACAAGAGGATCGCTTCGGATCACAATATTATTGCGCAAGTCAAGGACATAGCTAAAGACATGATGGACGTCAGAACACTAGAGATATTGTAGTTGCATACTACGTCGAAGCACGAATATCTCTGACAATGGAAGACTGCACAAGCTGAACTCGATCAATCGAGTCCTCAGCCATGATGTAGATGCTGGTCTCTGCTGAACAGGGTCTCTAGTTAAAAACCCAGGAATCATTTGGCTAACGAACTCAGAGATACCCCAACACAAGTGCTCTTGTGCTCCTGAAAACACTGGAGCCCTCAAGAACCAGTACTTGAATCATTAAGATCAGGAGACATAGGCATACGCTCTGGCGGAGCTACCAGCTAGACTCCTAACCAAGAAAATGATATCTCGTTCATGGATTTCATGCACATTTACGTCTTCGACGTTCATATATCACTTCGGATATTCACTGTTTCTTGATCTTCTCAACAACACCTGCACATGCCATCAGTACCGATCACCGATCCAGAATAAGATCAACTAATGGAACTCACCTTTCTTCCAAATAAGCCTATAGTTCTTCACAGTCCGGGTGGTGGACATTCCCGTGAGAGTTAGTGCGCATAGCGCACGGGCGGCCTCTGGGTCCATAGGAACGACTTTATCGTCCCCTGTTTCCTAGGACGGTGGAGATGACATTGTGGAGCTCGGCCCAGAATGGCTGGGCGTGCGTGACGAGGGCGTAGAGCCCCGTGATGGACGGCGCACAACAGAAGTCTGTGGCTGTCCAGCCATAGGGCTTGATCGGGCGTTCGGCCGGTTGAGACATGTGAAGTGTGAGCGGGGTAGGCGTGAGGAAGGTGACCATGCCCATTATTATGAAGCCTCCATTAGCGATGACCTGTTGTGGGTGAAGGTAGTTAGAGAAATCGAGACACGATTGGGAAAGGACAACGTACAAGAGAGGACAGCAAAAGAGTCCATGGAGAAGACGCAATCACGGGGGACGCATGCGTGATAACGGGTTTGGGTACGAGACTACAGAGAAGCCATGCACGCGTGAATCCGTCGACGATAGACAGCGGAAGCTCACTGCTGAGTGACATTGGCGGTATAACAGGGATACACTCTACAATTGCCTGTGCCGCGATGTATACACTTGGGGAAACACCTGAGAGCACGAAAGATGGAGGAACACCGAGCAGAGGACCTAAACATGGAAAGCGGTTAGTATGCATAATGCAGGTTCGACTTAGCAGAGTACCCATTATGGCCTCTCCTCCAAACTTAATCGTGAGCGAGGTACACGCGTCTCTTGGGAATGACCTCTCCTCTACAGATGCGGGTTTATCACCAGCACGACGCAGATGCTTGGCATATAAATCTTCCCTGATCTGTCTCAGGATGGTGCAAAACCGCAAGGCGGCTATTAGCTCTATGGAGCAGACTTCGACACCAAACCAACTGAAAAGTGCTATGGGTTCGATAGCATACCGATACAAGAATATGAATGGATGGAAAGACATGACGGGGTCAAGGAATGGTTGACGTTGAGGTCAAAGTTGCAGGAGACACGCAGGAGTTTTGAAACGTCCGATGTTAGCTGGCAGTCGGATTTCGGAACAATCATGTGTACAATTGGTGCATAAGCCACGTCAGTTAGACTCGTGACGAGCCCGTCTAGGGCTGGGAGTACTGGTCAAGTCCGGAGAGTGGGAGAAAACCTCCAGATGCAAGCCTGCAGTTGTGTTGTTGTGTTTCAGGCGGCTAAGAAAAAAGAGTCTAGTCAAAACTCAGTAATCAAGGGCAGACGTACCCAGATTGAAACCATACTCGATATCCCAACAAAAGTGTTCTCGAAACCACTGGAGCTCCAAGAACAAGTACCTGAGTCATTAAGATACGCATCAGGAGGTCGTAAGTATACCTCTTCATTCACCGCGCGGGTTGACTGTGTTGCAATATCCCAGATCAATGGAGCACTGCTCGTGAGTGGAAATTATAGAACGGAAGTTCGGTTCTGGTCTATCAAGATCATATTCGAGCAATACAAATCATAGGAAAGGATAAGAGTGACTGAAGAAGCACGTCGGCTCCTTACTTGAAGTGACATTCCGCCTTGCCATTCATCCAGAATGTTCCACGTAGTGACACACAGCCGCAGTCACGACAACAACGAGCCCAGGTGCAGTGATGAGGGCAGAACAGGGATATCTCATTCATTAAATTTCGTGCACATCTACATCTTCGGCATTTATAAAACCAATATCACTTCGGGTGTTCACTGTATCTTGATCTTGTCAGCAACACCTGCACATGTTATCAGTACCGATCACCGATCCAGAATAAAATCGACTGATGGAACTCACCCTTCTTCCAAATAAGCCCATAGTTCTTCGCAGTCCGGGTGGAGAACATTCCCGCGAGAATTAGCGCGCATAGCGCACGGGCGGCTTCTGGGTCCATGGGACCGACTTTGTCGCCCGCGTTTCCGAGAACAGTCGAAATGACGCTGTGGAGCTCGGCCCAGAACGGCTGGGCCTGCGTGAGGAGGGCATAGAGCCCCGTGATGAACGGCGCACACCAGATGTCCGTGGTCGTCCAGCCGTAGGGCTTGATCGCGGCGGGGGTCGTAAGTGTGAGCGGAGTAGGCTCCAGGAAGGAGAACATGCTGGTCATAAAGAAGCCTCCATTAGCGATGACCTGTTGTGGGTAAAGGGAGTTAGAGAGATCGAGACACTAAGAAGGGACGGCGTACGAGAGAGGAGAGCAAAAGAGTCCACGGGGAAGATGCGATAACGGGGGACGCATGCGTGATAACGGGTTTGGGTATCAGGCTGCAGAGAAGTAACGCGCGTGTGAATCCGTCGACAATAGATAGCGGAAGCTCAGTGCCGAGTGACATGGACGGTATAACAGGAATATACTCTACAATCGCCTGTGCCGCGATGTACACACCGGGGGAGACACCTGAGAGCATGAAAGATGGGGGAACACCGAGTAAAGAGCCTGAATGTGGAGAGCGGTCAGTATGCGTAACAGAGGTTCGAGTTAGTGAAGCACCTATGACGGCCTCTCCTCCAAACTTGATGGTGAGCGAGGTACATGCGTCTCTTAGGAAGGACCTCTCCTCCACAGACTGTTTATCGCCAGCACGGCGCTGATACTTGGCATATAAATCTTCCCTGGTCTGCCTCAGGATGGTGCAAAGCCTCAAGGCGGCTACCAGTTCGATAGAGCAGACTTTGATACCAAACCAGCTGAAAGGTGCTATAGGTTCGAGAGCATACCGATACAAGGATATGAATGGCTGAAGAGACATGACGGAATCAAGGAATGGTTAGCGTTGAGATCAAGGTTGTAGGAGGTACTAAGCAGAAGAAGTCCTGAGACATCACTTTCGGCTCAGCGCTCAGCGCTTGAGCCTCTGACACACCCTTGAACGGTAAGCCGCTGGCAGTCGGATTTCGGAACAATCGCACGAGCCACGCCAGACATTCACTAATTAGGAATTTCATCGTTTTGCTTATAAGTAAACCCTCCAGACCTCCAGCCATCGACAGCATACAAGTACAGCATAAAAACGTTCAAGGAAATGATCATCAACAATATCAATTTTATTGATACCATAGGTCAACAGGATTTGGAGCAGCAAATAAGTATGTGCAATAATAATGGTCAAACCACGACCATGAGCAACGTCAACGCAGAGTCGACCAGAATTGCGACGGTTGTGAAAAGGCATTACATGGAATCACTCGGCCAGTCCAACAATGATCCTAGTTCCTCTTCCTTGCACTGGCCAACATCAAGACTGTAGTCGACTGTCCCAAACTTGAGATCGTCCAGGACGCCAAGCAGATTCATATCCCAATTCTGGAAATGCAGATTGACAGCTGGAAAGGTCGGACACTTCGAAAAAGTAGGAACACCACCGAACAGCTGAGGTGCGCGCTCGTATATGTCCATCTTCCGGTCCTCGGAAAGTTCGGTCCAACATGCCGGGTGCATAGGGTGATCAATAACGTTAAGTATAAATGCACCTTTATACGCAGCTGCAGGTTCCTTCAGCCCAGACCCCGGGAACATCGGAACTTCCATGAATACGTTGACAGCGAAGTTGAAATATGTTAACTCCTCGGCGGAGTAAATCATATTACCGAATTGAACCGGAGACGTGGCCACACTCGGTTGACCTCCTGAACATGGCCTGTATGAGGCTGAAACACCGCGCTTAAGAGACATGGACCATAGAGTATCTTCTAGATTCTCGGAATTTGGATGTTCCGTGGGGGGAACATGCACGATTACGCCATACATATACCAACATGGTGGATTCATACATATGACCTCGCTGTTCCGAATTATGACCATAGGAAGTGGTTCCGGGAACGCGTCCATGTATCTTTCAAGGTGTTCGTGAAGCCGTTTCAAGAGCTCAATAGGATAGATCCTCGGGTGTTCCAGGTCATCGGGAAAGCATGGATTTCGAGGAACTTTAGAGTAGTAACTGCGTGTGATAGCGTCCTTGTGCTGGCAGAAGTTGCTGATGAATTGAGCGTACAGTCGAGTATCAGGCATGTTAAAGAAAGGCGGCGGATACATTGGCATGCCATGAATATCGACAAGCTTTTGGTGGATCATGTTCGGTATGATACTTTCCGCCTCGACACATTCTCTCGATTTGTAAAAGGTAAATGGCGCAGGGAGAGCGGCTCGCAGGCCTGTCTCCTTCAAAGCTAGGGTATAAACGGAAATCGGTCGGACTTGCCAAGGGATCCGAGTGGCACAGTCATGGCGTCCAAGTATGCTATCGAAGTCAGCGGGCATGGGCCGTGGTGCGCATAGCAGATCGTGAGGCACATAGTGCATGTTGCCATTAATGTCGTTGGTGTCCTCTTCCAAATCATATTGCGCGGGGCCAGGGTCAGCGAAGTGGAAGCCAGGGACCTGCAGTGCCCGTGTGTTCTGATTGCACGGCAGTTAGAAATAGCGATTCTCGTACCTGTTTGTGAAAATCAAAAGCGTCGGGGATGCTGGTGTACAGTTCGCCAGTACTCGGTAAGCCGGGTAAATAATGAGTAACGCTCTGAGAGGGTGCAATCGTGGTGGACTGAATGTCACGTAGGACGGGATGCGCGAACCCCTTCAAGGGAGAGTTTTTAGTCTGAGTTGACTGCATGATGTGATAATGAACAAGATGTGATGAGGACGCAGAGAAAATGCCTACTGTTTATATACCATGGCTGCATGCTAATCTGCAAAGGTGGATGTGGATGTGGACGACGGAAGGACATTCATGAATTAGTGGATGATGAAGATTGTCATGTCAATAGATTTATTGAAAGGTTACCAAGCATGGTACAATGGCGAAGCGGCTGTAATGGCCCTAAACCGGGAATGCGAGATAGTTCTCTCCAGCGATCCAACCCATGAGTGCGCTGGTTCAAGACTGTCCCCTCCAGAAAACTTGGTGTCCACATGTCCCTTGCGCCGAAAGGTGTAATCGGACTTGGAATAATCGGTCCTTGATTGGCCAGGGAAGCAATTCCGCAACCTGCAGGATCCGCCGAGTTAGTCGTAGGAGATCAGGGCATGTCATCAGACGCGCTGTGGGTCGTGCTGCTTGCAAACCTTTTTACTTTTTTGGTGAAGAACTTGCAAGTGAAAGAAGAACAACTAGCAACTGTCGTCACTTGCTTCACCACGACAGTCTCAAGGGTACACAAAGCAGAGTCCTATTAAGAGGAAGGAAAAATGTAACTATACACGCTGAACTACAGAAACACCCGCCTGATTGCTACAGCAAAGGCTACAGTGATGAAACGTAACAGCAGCTCCATCTAACAACATTTGCTACCTGTTGCAGGTGTAGATGAGTCAATCGCTACAGGAATAGTATCACTAGTGGGTCCCTTGATGGGGTCAGCAGACTGCTCAAGTGACTTGCTTGAGACGATCCGGTAGATGTCTGGGGACACGTCAGTGAAGGGACATTTGATGCAAAGGCCAAAAAGTACCCGTAAGGATGGTTTGGAAAGCTGACTCGACATTTGATGCGTCCAGCGCCGAAGTCTCGATAAACGAAAGTTCATTCTCCGCTGTCAGAAAAACAGTACCTGAGCAATTCAGTCACAGTTGATTCATGTAAGACATACTTGCAAAGGACTTTGCCTCCTCAGTGGGAACTGCCCTCAAGTGTTTCAAGTCACTCTTGTTTCCAACAAGCATGATAACAATGTTCGAGTCAGCGTGATCCCGGAGCTCTTTCAACCACCGCGTCACGTTGACGTACGTTGCATGTTTAGCAATGTCGTATACCAACAGAGCACCAACAGCACCACGGTAGTACCTGTAGAAACATTCTTAAACAGTGAACTCTAACTGCGGAAAGTGAACACGTACGCAGAGGTGATCGCACGGTAACGCTCCTGGCCTGCGGTATCCCATATTTGTGCCTTCACCGTCTTGGCGTCGACATTGATTGAGCGGGTCGCGAACTCGACACCAATTGTTGATTTCGACTCCAGGTTGAACTCATTACGAGTGAATCGAGAGAGAACTAGGTGATGTATATGAGCAGTCGCGCGTTCCCTGATAAATACACTATTCCTTACGATTTCTGTAGGATACTGTGAGCTAGGAAACGATAAACGGAACTTGAAACATGCTTACGATTTGCCGACTCCAGAGTCACCAATTAGAACAACCTATGCAGCGGGAACTGGTAAGTGTCGTGGAAACTATTGCATGAGTGGACTACGGACCTTGAAGAGGTAATCATATTCGGTCATGTCGAGTTTGGGAACGTTGAGTGGTTAAAGAGCTCTATGTACGAATTCGAAGGAGTCTTGGTCGTTGAAAAGTACAAGCAGTGGTCGGAGTTCGAAAGTGACAGCAAGAGACTTGGAACTTGTTCCTGCCGTGCTCTTAAAGTGATCCTTGACTTGATGTGACTTCTGTTATAGTGTCTGATTGGAGACTGATAAATATTTATTTTAGGTCATTCCAGTGTTATGAGGCTGTTGTCTACTGACTAGATGTGACATTCCCATACCCGTATCGAGGGAGATCATACTAGATGTACTGCCAGTCTATGTATAATTGCCAGCCTTCCCGCCTCTCTCTTTCATCTCCCACAAAACTAGGGCGCCGATGCTTTAGCTGCGGCACCGGGCCGACCCCGTGGTCACGATACTTCGGTTTGATTAATTGCTCATTGGCAGCATCTAGGGTCTTAACGCCTTGTTACGAGGTTTGTTAGTAGCTCTTTTCATGTCTACTCCACATACCAAGCGTATATGCCAGATAATCAAGGTGCGTAGGGGTTCTTACTTTCTGTAATAAATGTCCAAACCCATGGCCGTTTCACAGCTCAAACCAGAATGCGCGGACGAGTACAAAGAGGTCCACAGGAACGTCTGGCCTGGCGTCCTCAACTCCCTTAGACGGCACCACATCGTGGACTACTCGATCAACCATTATCCGCCGTTGAATTTACTCATCGCGAACTTCAAGTACACGGGTAGTGACTTTGAGAAAGACATGAAAGCTATTGGGGACGACGAGGAGACGCAGAGGTGGTGGAGGCTCACAGATGGTATGCAAGAGAGCTTTAATGACGGTGCGTCTGGGAGTGGAAAGGAATCCCTTGGTGGACGGTGAGTCTTTTTTGTAGACTGGGGATTCTCGCACCCTTGAATAATTTGGCATATAGGACGTAGAAGAAGTCTTCCGTTTCGAGGGAGGTTCTTCAGCATGATATGTTGACACCTGTCGTTGATGAGATTGACTACCTCTTCGGGCTGTCGACTAGTTGGAAGGTAGTGGTGCGAATATTGAAAAGGTAGAGAATAAGGTAAATTCGCCCAAGACAAGGATGTGGCTGGTTACATTGCTCAAACTCGATGCGAAACTTAACTTCAAGACATGACAGAATTCATCGGCATGTACTTCGTATATGTATACTTATCTCGAGTAACGTAGCTTCAGTTTCCCTTTCGTCGCGAATTCCGATACTCATCGATCTGAAGCGCGTTTCTAGACAAGATAAGCATGACCAAGTGCATGAGTCGAGATAGCGGAGCACTTACCCACAAAAAGTAACCTCTCCTACAACTAAGAACAACGACTCGATATGGTCCATACAAACTTTCCTCAACGGTGCGTCTGTCTGAAAATCCACCACCGGCACCCGGAAAGGTGCCACCGCCAGCATCGACAAAAGACAATCAACATGTGGTTTTTTTGGTGTTCCAACCAGAGTTAACTTCCGGAAAGTGGGAAGATCAAGGAGGCTGAACATGTCGATGAAGCCTTGTCGCCAGCGACGCGAGGAGGGGAGGGGGAGGGTCATTGACTCAAGTGTCGCCGAATAACTTGAACTTCTGGCGCTAGGAACATGATTGAGCGAGTATATTTCATCAATCACAATGGTCTCTAGACGAGGGAAATCGGTTATAGTGGAGCATAAAGCACATACGTAAGCGTCCCGAAGGTGGAGATGACGTAGATTTTTGTAAAAGGGGATGCACAGTCTGGCTGGGGAGGCCAGATACCCGCGCCGAGTGGTTATGTATAGGCGAGAAATATTTGGTGCATAGAATTTTTTGAGATCAGGAGCACCACATTCCAAGGCTCTCAACTGAGGTGTGTCGAAGTTCAGATCCCAGGCGCATGTGAATGGCATTGCCATAACGACTGTTTCCCAACGCTTGCTTTCAGAAAGGAGGATATTGAGAATTCGAGAGTTTGCCGCTGTTATTGTCCAGTTGAGGCATGGGGCACGGTTAACAATGTGAAGGGTGAGGGGGGAACTACCAGAGCGAGCAAGCCAACACTGGAGAAAATGTGGAAGAAATGGTCCGAATGATCTAACTTCCCCAGGGAGCACGACCTAGATGCGCGACCAGACTCCTGCCGTGGAATGTGCAACAACTCGCCAATGGTGGCACCCTGGTCAAGACTATGGGAGGGCTGGCAACGTTGGTCGAAATGGTGAAAAAATCCGCATGAAAATATACTCGGATAGTCTGGTGCACTGTTAATGATGAACAAGAATATTTTGTAGAAGTTCCACTGGCAGTCGATGGATGTACGGTTCAGTCGCCGTCACGCTGACAAAAAAGATTGGACGAGAGGACGATGCAAGGATCTCACGGAGCACTTTCATGCTTGTCTTGCGTTAATCAATGTGGCCCAGCGTCACTAGGAGACCCGGTGCAGCCAGCCAGTATATAAGGAGGGTAGCAATTATAGTACTACAGTACACTTTTTCATAACGTATAGCGACGGGAGCTGCCTTTTCGCTATACAATATGAGAGATATACACTACCAAATAATTCCCACGGCAGAGGGGTCAACGTTAACAACCAAGATTAGGGGTGTCGATGCGCGCTACTTGGCAACACATGTCCAGAAATCAATGCATTCAGCGAGTACACCGAAACGGTACATTACTTGGTATTCCAGAATTAATTTAATGTAGCCTGCTTTGCATTCTGCGATTCCTCACGCCATAGTGTTGCTCGGGATGCATGGAGTTTCTGAATAAGTTTGATTGAAGATTCAGCGCCAGCTCGTACAATATATGCAACCTCGAGCTACAATATTACGATCGTGCCGCACAGGTGAGTCAGAATGATCATCGATGTATGCAAGCACCGTCAGCCAGTCAATCAAAGTAATATTCTTGCGCCCACCAGTATCAGAAAGCTTTGTGGATATTGCAGGACCATCTTTCTGGTGAGGTGTCTTTGGTTTCGTATTATCATGATGGGGTGGGTTTTAGATGTGGCTGGCGTTTCAGGGCATTTCTTAGGGCTGCGCACCATTGGAACTAGAATGTCTATAAAATTGTTCATCTTACAACGTTGTCATGCATCAGCTTCCGGCAACTCAGCAGTAGTCCTACTCGGTACAAACCATATCTCATAGTGTATATCGGACCTCCAAAGGCTATACATTATACATTATACAATTTTTTGGGCGTCTACCCGCATACCACGATGGGAGCTGCCAAAACTCGATACAAGATGAGATTTATACATTACTAATGTATGCATTATGAAAAAGTGTACTGTAGTCGAATATCATTCTCCGTGGCTTAGATCAGGCCCCTAAATATTCCAGGTCTGGGTCTCATCGATGGAAAGCTTAGCTTTCAGCATCAGCGACAGTATATGTACTGATTATGGGAACTCAGGTAAGCCAGCGTGCTTACAGACTCCATCCATACAATCGTCCATGATGCGGCTGCGCTAACTAGTTATCCAAGCTTTCTAATTGGTGACTTAGGAGTCGGCGTGTTTCTTGTTCTTTGTTCCGCTCCCTAGCACACAGAAATCGTAATGGGTGGTTCACTCATCAGCAGGCACACGAGCCCTTACATACATTACCCAGTCTTTTTGCAGCTCGTGCATAAATCCACCAAGTCACCTAATTGGCATCTTGGCCTCAACAACAAAATCCTCATGGTTGAAGATCCAGATGGCCTTTTTCAGTGAGTGAAGGCATGTATATGATACTGCAGGCTTGGAGTGTTCCGACGCGATCTCCCCTTGGTATGCAGTCGTTCTACATGGTCATCGTTTACGGGCCGACTCCGTGGCCACATGCTTCGGTCTGATTAATTGCTGATTGTTAGCATCAAGGGTCTTGAGTCTTGTTACGAGGTTTGTTAGTGGCTCTTTCAATGTCTGTTTCACATACCAAGCGTATTTGCCAGATTATCAAGGTGTGTACAGGTCCTCGCTTTCTGTAATATATGTCCAAACCCCTGACCGTTCATCACAGCTCAAACCAGAATGCGCGGACGAGTACAAAAAGCGCCACAGGAACGTCTAGCCTGGCATCCTCAACGGAGTCAACGCCCTTAGACGGCACCACATCGTGGACTACTCGATAGAACCATTACCCGCCGTTGAATTTGCTCATCGCAAACTTCAAGTACACGGGTAGTGACTTTGAGAAAAACATGAAAGCTATTGGGGACGAGGAGGAGACGCAGAGGTGGTGGAAGCTCACAGATGGTATGCAGGAGATCTTTAATGACGGTGCGTCTGGGAGTGGAAAGGAAATTCCTTGGTGTCGACGATGAGTTTTCTTTGTAGATTGGGGATTCTTTGCATCCTTGAATAATTTGGCATATAGGGCGTAGAAGAAGTCTTCCGTTTCGAGGGAGGTTCTTCAGCATGATGTGTTGACAACTATCGTTGATGAGATTGACTACCTCTTCGGGCTGTCGACTAGTTGGAAGGTAGTGGTGCGAATATTGAAAAGGTAGAGAATAAGGTAAATTCGCCCAAGGCAAGGATGTGACTGATTACATTGCTCAAACTCGATGTGAAACTTAACTTCAAGACATGGCAGAATTCATCGGCATGTACTTCGTATATGTATACTTATCTCGACTAACGTAGCTTCAATCTCCTCTTTCGTCGCGAATTCCGATACTCATCGATCTGAAGCGCGTTTCTAGACAAGATAAGCATGACCAAGTGCATGAGTCGAGATAGCGGAGCACTTACCCACAAAACGTAACCTCGCCCACAACTGAGAACAACGACTCAATACGGTTCATACAAGCTTTCCTCAACGGTGCGTCCGTCTGAAAATCTACCACCGGCACCCGGAAAGGTGCCACCGCCAACATCGACGAAAGACAATCAACTTGTGGTTTTTTTTGGTGTTCCAACCAGAGTTAATTTCCGGAAAATGGGAAGATGAAGGAGGCTGAACATTTCGATGAATTCTTGCCGCAAGCGACGCGAGGAGGGGAGAGGGAGGGTCATCGACTCAAGTGTCGCTGAATAACTGCTGGCACCAGGAACATGGAAGAAGTATATTTTATCAATCGCGATGGTCTCCAGATGAGGGAAATCGGTTATAGTGGAGCATAAAGCACACACGGAAGCGCCCCGGAAGTGGAGATGACGTAGATCTTTGTAAAAGGGGATGCGCAGTCTGGTTCGAGGGGCCAGATAGCGATGAGTATTGATGTATAGGCGAGAAATATTTGGTGCATAGAATTTTTTGAGATCAGCAGGACCACATTCCAAGGCTCTCAACTGAGGTGTGTCGAAGTTAACATCCCAGTCACATGTGGGTGGCATAACGACCGTTTCCCAACGCCTGCTCTCGGAAAGGAGGATATCGAGGATTCGAGAGTTTGCCGCTGTTATTATCCAGTCGGGAATTGGGGAACGGTTAACAATGTGAAGGGTGAGGGGCAAACTACCAGAGCGAGCAAGCCAACACTGGAGAAGATGTGGAAGAAATGGTCCGAATGATCTAACTTCCCCAGGGAGCACGACCTGGATGCGCGACCAGACTCCTTCTGTTGAATGCGCAACAACTCGCCAACGGTGGCACACCCTGGTCAAGACTAGGGGAGAGCTGGCAACGTTGGCCGAAATAGTGAAAAATCTGCGTGAAAATATACTCGGATAGTCTGGCGCACTGTTAACGATGAACAAGAATATTTGTTGTAGAAGTTCCACTGGCAGCCGATGGATGTACGGTTCTGTCGGTGTCACGCTGACAGGAGAGATTAAACAAAAGGACAATGCATGGATGTCACGGAGCACTTTCATGATCTTCTTGCTAAATGCTTTGCTGTCGATGTGGGTGTCATTAGGAGACAGCACCTATATAAGGACGCTGGCAATTGTACTCACGAATAATTTTCGCCAGTCAAAAATAACCTTTTATTTTGCGAAACCACTGAAAGCTTTCTGCTCTGTCATAAACGGTAATTTTAGTTCTGTGTATTCAATGAACCCTCCAACTGAGTGTTTTTTGAGAGACTCATCGCATCAAGACGTCTGGGATTGCAATTTAGTGATATCGTTCTGATTTTGTAACAAATTGTAGTGGCACTGGGCCACGCAAGCATCTAACATTTGTCGTACACCGATAAATTGTGTAGTCACGTCAAACATCTTCCCGTGCATAGGGATATCTGTGTCGACCATGTATGCACCAGCCTGGGGAACACACTCGATCATATATATATGTATGTTCTAGACAGTCCTGAGGCCTCAATGTCTTGTAAAGTTTTTCAACAGGCTCTCAACGCACCGCTGAACCGCTCGGACATAATATTCGTGGAAAGGACATAACATTCATAAATATCATGTAGATCTATAGCGAGTGGTATAAATCGGTATCACGCTGGGTATTCATTGCGTCTTGATCTTCTCTGAAACGCCTTAAGAGCCATCAGTACCGCCCCAGCATAAAAAAACAGCTCATAGAACTTACTCTTCTTCCAGATAAGCCCAAAGTTCTTCGCAGCCCGGGTGGAGAAAAATACTGCGAGAATTAGCGCGCACAGCGCACGGGCGGACTCTGGGTCCATAGGACTAACTTTACCGCCTCCGACGGCAATCGAAATTATACTGTGTAACTCGGCCCAGAACGGTTGGGCGTGTGTGAGGAGCGCATAGAGTCCCGTGATAAGCGGGGCGGACCAGATGTCAGTGGCTGTCCAGCCATAGGGCTTGAGCTCATCGGGGGTCGTCAGTGTAAACGGGGTGGGCTCCATGAACGAGAACATGTTCGTTATGAAGAAGCCGCCATTGGTGATGACCTGTGGGTAAGGGCGGTTAGACGGAAATCATGACGGGTAGCTATCACATACGAGAGACGAGAGAAGTAGAGCCCATGGGGAAGATGCGATGACAGGGGAAGTGTGGGTGACGATGACTGGTGGTATAAGGCTGCAGAGGAGCATTGCGCGCGTAAATCCGTCGACAATGGATAAAGGAAGCTCGGTGCTGAGTGACATGGACGGCAGGACAGGGGATATACTCTACAATCGCTTGTGCGGCGATGTACAATCCGGGAGAAACACCCGAGAACATGAAAGATGGCATAATTCCAAGTAGAGGGCCTGCGCATAAGGAGCAGTCAGCATGCGCAGTCCCGACATCTCCCTACACAAAAAGCTAGTGGTACCTATGATAGCCTCTCCTCCGAATACAATCGTCAGCATGGTACATGCGTCTCTCGTGAAGGACCTCTCTTCTACAAGTGCGAGTCTATTCTCTCCAGCGGTTCGCTGACAGTGTTTGGCATGCAGAATTTCCCTCAGCTGTCTCAAAGCGATGCAAAGCCTGAACACGGCTACCAAGTCGAGGGAGCAGACCTTGGTACCGAACCAGGTAAATGGTGCTATTGGTTCGACAGCATATCGATACAGAGAAATGAATGGCTGAAGAGACATAACGGCGCGGGAACGAAAACGATGGACTTAGCGCCTGAAGCACTAAAAGGGATTTTCAAAGGCTGAGCATCTGAAGCCTCAAGTTGACAGTCCGCTCAGCGCTGGCAGCCAGCACACTACATACTACTCACTGTGGTGTTTACGGCTCCTCTAGCTCAACAACAGCGCGTTGCAACTACATTTTGACTACATTTGCAACATTCAAGGAGAATCTGGATGTCGGATTCGCCAGACGTACATGTCCTCCACCGAGCTCTAGTATATCGTCGAACTCAGTGGCCAACGGCTGCTCCCTGTCCCAAACACCACGACGGACGATCTCACTCCTGTTTCTAAGCACCTAACTCTTGAGGGGCAGAGCCCATGCATGGTTCAAGTTTGAAATCCATTCATTCAACACTGGACCCAGCTCAAAACCTGATCGTGTTGTTAATGACAACGCTCACGAGACAGTCAATAATATATCGACATCGGAACCCTGGGTTGTGGCAATGTTCACCCACAAGCTGCTGGACGGAGACTGTTTCTGCTGGAGCCGCCTGCATACTACGACAACAACTACAAAACAACGAGTACGGAACTCAAAAGTTTTGAGAGGCACATAGCCTTGCTACGGCGTTATTAATGACAGTTCCATATGATAATTTAGCCAAGGCTAAATTCGAGGAGATGTGGGAGCTGCAGATTTGGGACTGGCAACACTCAGCGACATCCAATGTGAGCTTTGGTCAGAAATAGTTGAAAAACTGGAATTCTCAATTTAGAGCATCCTCATCGAGAAAAGTCACCAAAGATTTGGAATAGATTTTTTTTTCTCGGAAACAATAGATTGCTGCAGGCTGTTGATTTCAAATTGAAGAGGACACATTTCAGACGCCTGGCATGCCTTTTGCTCCCCGTCTCATTCCCGGAGAAACAGTACCTCCTTCCGATGGATGATATTGAGCATAGCTCACAGCCGCAGATGCAAGAAGCCCAACATACTATGTACGCCTCGGAAACATCAGATACTCTGCCTTATCACGATCTCTCATCATCTCCGAGTCCGCGAGGGTTTTCTTCGATCTTGACGGAATGGTAAGCAGCAAGCCCAATACCATCATGGGGAACGCTGGGGCTCTTCAAATACTCGTATTTTCCAGCGTCCATACAAGTGCAAATTCACGTTAGCGGAAATCGAGTTTTGCAGGCATTCGCACCTGTTATTTCAGACTCGGTCGTAGGGAGTTCATATTACATATGATGGACTTCAGTCCCCTAGGTGTGACGAATAGTCGAGGTCGTATCGGACAGGAGGTTCAGTGTTCAAGAGTTTGACTTAGGGGACTCATGGCTCTACAAGGATAGGATTTATATTTGCTACATTTGAACTTATCCGAGTAGCGCCGGCGTCCACCAGGCTTGAAGTCGTTGACGTCTAGAGCAGAGTCTGTTATTAGCTAGTAATACTTCAATGTTTAGATGGATCCTGATGAAATCCGAGAGCTCGTATAAGTTACAATACTTCAAAAGCTTCATCCCTGATAACTTCAGGTACCCGAAGAACTCAATTGCCTAATTGGAATTTATTGGATGTTCGGTCACTTTGGTGGGACGTAGTACTCTCTGTCCGACACCCACTTAGACGGTGTTTTCAAAGATGGCAAACTGCTTCAACCTGGAGTATGCATCCCTAGATCACAGCAAATGGAGGAACCTTCCTCCTCCTCCAGGATTTTCAAGCTCTGCTCCAAGCGTCAGTCCTTATGCCCATTTCTAATCGTTAAAGCTAATGCTTTCAACAGTCCAGAGCACCAGCCAAGGCTTCAACAACAACAACGACGACGACGTCGTCGTCGTCGTATGCATCGCTGAAAGACAAACGCGCTTGGGATCTCGCCATTTCGCCGGCCAAGTCTCTCCCTATGCAGGCATTCATGTTGTACATGTCTGGGGGAGGTGTACAAATCTTCAGCATGGGTATCGTGTTCATGCTTCTCCTCTCGCCTTTTAAAAATATTGCTGGTATGAATACAGGTACGTGTCTGTTCATTTAATGTATTTGTCACATCTCTTATTGTCGAGGTAGCATTCGCACCATTTGCGCCTACACCTGCAAGCGTCAAGTCACCCAAGGTCCTTCCTCTCCAGAAGATAGCATACATTGCGTGCAACCTGTTAACGCTTGCAGTTGGCCTCTGGAAGTGTCGTTCTATGGGTCTTCTACCAACTGGAACAGGAGATTGGCTTGCATTCGAGAGTCGAGCGATGGTGAGTTATCACACAGCGCCCCTGGACGCCTCTCACACATTCTTGCAAGGCACCTGAACTATCGCTACTATAATCAAGAAATGACCTGTGTGTATGATGGGAATAGTGTCTGAAGCCCTAGTCAGATCTGTGTTTCCATAGGCTCCCCAACACACAGTTCTACCCTACTTCGAAGCTATCTCTAATCTGTAATGAATAGACATGAGAAGTCCCCGTCATGGGTATTAAATTCCTATCAAACCCAACAGTTTCCAACAATACGAACTATTCATCAATTGTGGTGTGAGAAAGACAGACAAGATCAGCTTCTCTAAGAGCATGAGCATAGCCTCATGGTCCACTCAGCTCGTGCGGAAGAGAACAAATGCTACAGGACTGGGGAAAATCATGATGTCTTGGCGCAACGAGAGAAACGACATAAAAAAGATGAGAAGGATATATGAGGCAGAACAAGGCGTAAAGGAGTCATAAGAAGATAGAACAAGCTGTACCGTCGTGATGGATCATTCATTAAACGACGACGCATTTATGTGTCTTCTTAACCACGGGTGGCTCCAGCGCAGCAACAATAGCCTTGTGGGTTATCAGCCAATCATTCAGATGAATTTGTCAAAGAATTCACGAACCTCGTCGAAAACGTTCTTCAACCCTTTCTGCGTCAGAGCTGAGCACTCCACGTACTTGACAGCACCGAGCTCTCTCGAAAGCCTCTCGCCGTGCTCGGTCGGCACCGGTCGTTGCTTCTGCCTGGAGAGCTTCTCGATCACCTGAGCGTCGTCCCGCAGATCGATTTGCGTCCCAACGATAAGACATGGGACGCCCGGACAATGATGGTGCACCTCTGGGATCCATTTCTCCCTCACGTTCTCGAAGGATGGAGGGGATGTTACACTAAAGCAAACAAGGAAGACATCGGTTTGGGGGTACGACAGTGGCCGGAGACGGTCATAATCCTCTTGCCCTTTTATGTGGAAGTGATGTGTGAGCGATTGTATGAAGCGTAACTACGACGGAGACTACAAAAGACACGAACCGGCGGTGTCGAAAAGACCTAGCGTGTAAGGATCTTCACCAATCATTACGGTGACTGCATAGTTATCGAAGACCTGTGCTTATTTAGCATGTAGTGTTGGGCGGTCTTGCGGAATGAACTTACAGTCGGGACATAGTCGCTTGGAAATTTGTTCGTGGTGTATGAAATCAACAAACAAGTCTGACGATATCGGCCACACGGGTCAAAGTCCAGGGCATACAAATATAACACGTCACGCACCTTGCCTACAGCACCGTCCCCCACCACTACAACCTTGATAGTCTGCATGTCGTTGAGATAGTTCTACGTGACAAACTTGGCTATCAAATTGAAAAAAGCAGTCAGCACACGCGTCGACCACGCATTCAAGGGCCGCTTTTAGAACGCCTGCAGCATGCAGGACTGCATGACAACCACGCAACCATGGAGGGTGAAAACCTCGGCTGTTGGGTAATATAATAGGGCAAATGAAGAGAAATCTTACCAATTGTTCCGGAAAATTCGAGCAGAGTTGAAGCGGGGAAATGCTATTAACCCAATCACGACAGAGAAGGTTGACTCTAATTTACGAACAGAACCTAAGTCAGTTGAATCGGTTAAGCAGCGAATAGTGGCGGCGAAAGCGAAGGAGGCGGTTGAACGTACGTCGGTGGAAGAAATGACAAACTACGGTGTCGATGTTGGCGACGACGACGAGCAACGAAGGAGTTCAACTACGACTTCTAATCATGCAGTGCGCTTGACCCGACGAACCGGCCCTAATCAGCCAAATAATGCCAAACACTAGTACTGCCTTAGTTCTTTGAGGGTGTCTGTTAAACTTAGAAAATTTCACCGTTCTCGTTGTCCAGGTTCCGAATCAATTATCCTAGAATCACCACAACGAATAGTCCATACAGAAATTATAGAATGCTCATATCATAATTTAGCCAGGTTGCACATGCAAAGTACTGGTACATTGCATCCTTCCAGAGGGAATTAGCATGTTTCACTCAATCAATCAAGAAGGTTGCTTGACACGGAGACAATGTTCGTGATGAGCAAGTGCGCTAAAAGTAGTACTACATGTTCTTACCTACAGTCACTGATCGGGAGGGGAGTTCCACCACGACAAAAGGCCTTGTGCAGTTCCCGTGACGATGTATGAATGGGATGCACGGTCAAAGCCCTATGACGCAATTTAATATAGCAAATCGCAAAAGGAAACCAAGTATACTGACTGCGACGGCCTGGGTTTGCTCATCTACATCAGAAGCCATGAAGTCAGCGAGAAGCCGAGCAATGATCACAATTGACTCACTATCCCCATGATCCAGACCACTCAAGACCTCGCCTTTCGTTTTGTTCCAGACCAAACAAGAAGATTCTCTGCTATGGAACACTACAGAACGACCACCATTGACGAACACCGCAGGGGTGGATTGTTTCGCGTCACTTGTCGAATCTCCGTTCATCGCATATACTTGCTCGATTTTGCCTTTGCGATCCATCCCTTGAATGCCTACAAGATGAGCACGAGCGCCCACTTGAGACACAAGTGCCTGAGTTCCGTTCGGACTGACGTCCAGGTGTCGTCTGTCGCATAGGTCATGTCAGCCGTGAGATTAGGCAACCAGAAATTATTAGGTCCGTACATTTTAGCTTTGAGAAATGCGTAGGCTCGAAGGGTCCCATTGGGCACTTGACAATACCATCTATTGCGATCTGTTATCAGAGGTTACCAGTGCAACACTTTAAGATGCCCTCACAATACGCCGTCGCTAGTGCCTCCAAGTAATGCCTCACCGTCCTCGACGAACTTGATACACGTCACATTCTGTCGAAGAATGGACCGCTGTGGTTGCCATGTGCCTGTGACAGATCTAATAATGCTTTCTGAAACCCGAGAGAAGCACAGACCTTTGATCCATAGCCACACCCTCACACCGAAGCGAGGAAACGCAACAGCAAGGCGATCCCTGTTGTAGGTGAAGCTGATGGATTCCTCCTTCCCCGCATCGAGGAGCTTCGCCCATTGCCAGTGATTCTGGTTCTGGTTCAGATGGTCAGCCAAAGTCAACCTCGTGACCAAGAATATCAACACTTGCATTTCGCGTCCATTTACTGATCATACCATCTTGTCCCAGCGTGATGATACCATTGTCATCTGTCATCCAAGCAACAGATGATATTGGCGAGTTTTGCGCAAGACGGGCAGTTTCGACTCGATTTGATACACTCCATATTCGAATCGTTCGGTCATGACCTATATTCAGGAGATTGGCACGAAGTAGGAGAATGAAAAGGAATGGCAGAGACGAACATACGACAGCCATTCGTTCACCGTCTGAGCTGAAAACGATCTCTCTGACGCCAGCATCGCTATCACTCTTGATCCGTGTGGAATACATACTCTCTTGTGTGGGCCAGGGATGTGCACGCTTCCGCGGACGCGTGCTTTCCACATCAGACGCTGTAGACATCGCCCGTTTCTTGCCTTTGCTGTCGGACGGCGGTGTCGCACTGTTGGACTGACTAGAAAATCGGAGAATACTGGGAGATGTGGCTGAAGCCGGCAACACAGGCCTTGGTGACTGTATCGAGATTTTCTGCTTCACAATTGTCGTAGGCGTGGGTGGTAATGGAACGTCCATAAATTCTGAAAAGACATGAGTGAAGTGCGAAGATCCTAACAGAGACGCATTCTTACCGTGTTTGATGTTGGGATCGCCGGAACTGGATGGAGAGTCTGTTGGGGGCTTGTCCTTTAGCGACCTATGCAAAAAACCAGGAGGAGATGGGGAGGTATATGCGACAAAATTTGAAAGACCTGGTGGTGTTGTTGACGAGCGAGTGCTCTCTGGTGTGAGGGGCCGATGAGCACCTGTAGGTGGTGGTAAAGCCTTGGATGTCACAGGGGATATAGACGTAGAGCCATTTCCGTTAGTTTGTCGTGTGTGCGGCCAGCCATTACCAATTGCCAACGGTTTCTTTGGCGCATGCTGAGACTGGATTGGAGTAGCTTTGAGTGGGGCAAATCGTGAAGGACGAATGTTCAAAGGATTGGATATTGTTCCGGTAGCATTATAGGATATTCTCGCATCGCTGGCTGACGTTAAAGGTGAATAACCGGGCTTGTAAGGCACCTTATTGGAGTAAGCGATTACAGTTTCTGACGGACGAGGGGGGAGAGAACTGGGGTATGCTTGAGTTCGTGGCGGCTGAGGCACAGATGGAAGGGTTGGGGGTAAGGGGGCTGCGGTAAGACGTTGCTCTTGAGTAGATGGTCTTGCAGGCACTGCTGGAGGTGGAGAGGGAGGCCTTGTTGGAAACTGAGATGAAGGTGCGCAAGGGGACAGGGAAGTGGTTACAGTGCAAGAAGCAGGAACGAATGTAGGTGCGTGAAGTGGAGGATTGGGACGTGGGGGTGCAGGCGTTGAGATGGGCGTAGGAGTCGACTGAGTGATTGATATGTAAGTCGAATAGTCCATCATCAGAACTGTAATACTTGCCTGTGCCTCCGATATGTTCGGTGAGCCGGTGCGGGACTTCGGTGGTAGCGATTTTTGGGCAGTAAGCGATGCAGGCGAACCAACAAACTCTGTCATAAATCCACCAGAAACGAATGGATTGACGATCGCCGGTTTCTTTGGAACACTTATTGTCAGTCTTGGAGGCAGAGTCACAAGTTTATTGACGGCAGGAGGCACTGCAGAAGGTGGAGACTTTTTTGGAGAAGCAGGTATTCGCTCAGAAATAGATGGTTGTAGAGAGGATTGTGCAGGGGGAAGAGAAGGAAGAACTGTTTTCGGAGGTGAAACTGGTTCCTGTTCCAGCTCAGGTTCCACGGGTCGATGAGGTGGCGCAGGTGCACGCCATGATGTTACAAGACCAGGTATATCAGACGACGAGGAAGATGCAGAACTAGGAGAGGACTGGAGATCCATGTCAGTCTCAGAAGTGGGAGTGCTAGGTTCTGCGGGTAAACTGCTAGTGTCCCCTGGGTGGCGAAGATCATCTTCAATCTGCTTCTCATCTTGTGAGTCGCTTGAGAGGTCCATACCGCTGTCTTGAGAGCTTCTTGGAGGTTCTGTTACAGGGCTTTGAACTCTGAAAACATTCGGTATGTGCTCGACAATGGGAGATTGAGGAGGAGTGCTAGACGGAGAGCCCAAACTCATTGGTGACAAGCTACGTTCACGATCTTCGTCCATTATCTACTGTGTCTCAGGATCATGCTCGGAAGTAAGTGAAAGCGCACTCACAGCAGCATTAAGAGCCGGAGATAAAGATAATTTTTGAGGAGCAGGACATTGTCCCACTACATCCGACAGGGGTGTATCGAGGCTCAAATCTTCTTTGTTCTCGGGAAGTGATAGGCGTTGTCCGATTCGAACAGGAGACGTTATTGGAATTGCTTGGACTGAACTCACTGCCCATGATGGCTGAGCCTGGATACCCACTGATACACGCTCAGGTGGCGGTGGCGGGCGGTGGGCGCTATCTACATGGTAAATAGCACATTGAAAAGTACCCCTCGTGGTCAAGCATGTATCACTCACCTGGCACTACGCTCACCTGTTCATATGCCTTGTTCCAGGTTCTCCTCATTTTTGGAGGGACGAATGGAACCTCAACATGTTCGACATTATCTTGCATTTCTTGTTCGGTTTCAGTTTGTGTATCTGAACCAAAAAGATCTCCCTCGAAAATGACGGCTTGGTCAGTGAAAGATCCATCCTCGGAAGCTACGGCTAGTAAAATCTCCTTGCCAGGCTTGACCTCGATTCTTTTCTGTGCGAAAAGGCTAAAGTATGCTACAGGCCTTTTACCAGTATCATTTCCAGACTCTTCAGAAAGTTCTACGCGTCGTAGGACGACGTGTGCCTTCTGACTTGCACCATGCCGGCGAAAACGAAGGGACCCCTTTATGCCGAGGACTGAGGAGACGGTAGGAGAAGAAACAGGGCCTGCAGAATCGCTGGTGGAGTCAACCATATAGTGCCAGCAAGTCGTGAAGTCCTGCGAAATAGGTATGCACAGGACCACGATATAGAGAGACGCTTTGGCAGAAGTGTGTAACAACTGCACGAAATATAACTTTGTCAACGTGACGTGAAAATTCACACGCATAGTCTATACGCCAGGCTACACTTTTTCGTTATTCATGCACATGGCCTGAACAATGGCTTAAACCATAGGATCCCGTCTACCGCTCCAAGTAGTCTTTAAATGACTCGTGTTCCGCCCCGAAGTTCCATGTCTCACAGTAGTGCCCTGAAAAGTCGTCGTAAAGTTGCCAAATGACTATGTTGGGATGTCGTCCAACGAGTTCAACCGCAGGAGTATCAAGATACTGTCAAAGATATGGTCTACACACCCTTCATTCTTCGGACGGTGTGGTCTTTCTGACCAGTGATGAGATTGATTGAGCTTCGTGGAACTGATCTCTCCTCTGCGGCGTCTACTCGCGCAGTGGATAACTGTGAATGCACATTGGCGAAGCTTCGACTTCTGCTTCTGTAGCAGATCTGTCAACCATCAGTAACCGAAGTTAACCATCGTACTGTAAGTGTCCATTATTCTCGATGACTCGCACCTAATTTCCTGCAACAGTAATAGTGACTTGCATTACTGACAATGCTACACGCCATCTTAATGACATCTTCGCTATCTCTCGGATTCTATTTTATGCGCTCTCAGTGCCGCTATTTTCGGCAAGTGGTCTGTTTGCAAAGGAAGAATACAGCTACCCGAAACCAGAGCATACTTGCTGTCTACGAGCCAATCGTAGTCCACTACAGGATAACGAGCATTCAGGCGACCGCTTATTTGTCCTCGCTAACTTCTCATCTATCTTTTAAAGACATTCAGGAAAAAATATAAACTCATATATAGTTGCGCTTCACCAGATCAACGGGTTATTCGGCCAGCATTTAAAGTCTTGGAATGCCTGTGCTTGATGCCCTAGTATTATACTCTGAATCCTCGTTCTTCAAACGGTTAATCTGCAGGTGCGGGAAGCTACTGAAACGGCAAAGTATGGTGAATTATTGTCTCACAGCTCAGTCCACGGTACAGGATGAAGCAGAACGGTGGGTTCACCTAAGATGTCAGAGAAGTGTGGAATATTATGATTTTGGTATGTTTCAGGATTTCCATCGACCAAGCATGTCTCAAGTGAGCCCCATGGCCAATGGACCTTCAAGGTACTGTGCTCCGGAAGGATCAACTACTAAATATAGAGCAATCAAGGACTAGGAGACACGTATACTTCCCCAAGTAATCAAGATATTTGGTAAACGCAAGAGAACCAAGTATGTCCACCTTCTGTATCTGGGTCAGGATACGGCTCACAGGTTTGAGGGCCAATGTTGTGAATCCACGGAAGGAAGTGGTTACTTTTATGCGGCGGTCCGCATCTCAGGAAGGATAAGGACCAAGGTTGACCTATGCTCTCCTATCAGATCCAAATCTTGTTTGGCAGATTGCACTCAAAATACTTACTTGTATCCAAAATCATACACTTCCTTGGCTTCTGCCGCTGTCACAAGACTTAGATCGCGCGCGTGAGGTGAGCCTTATCATGATGGTGAGACGAGACCAAAGATAGAACTGATCGTCGCCGCTCGTAGGAGGGATGCTCAGGTCAGAAAAGACTTGGCCAGTGACGATAGAGCGGTGAAAAAACTCCTGATTACCATATTCCTGGATCGTGGGGCCAGGCTCACTATCGCAGTTCTATAGACTATGATATATCTAGCAGGCGGATAGCGCCGCTGGGGAGACGAAGTGGTGTCTCATTTGCCTTCCATTTCAACCCGATAGCTTGGCACGGCGCTTGATACTGAGTAATTGTTAGGAAAGGGAAAGGTGCACAGTATCATGACCCCGTGTCATGATATCACATCCGCATTGGTGGTTATCTTCTGATCTGGCTTCTATAGGGTTGGTCCGTGATCAAGAACCCAGCTCATATTTAAGTGCCAATGCAATCGTCTGTCTCGCTGGTGCTAATCGACAGTCACACGATGTGAGTGGCCCTTTCACAATCCAAACGTCCACTTGACATTGACCTGGATAGATGGAGATTTCCTTGCGCAACATCGCTCTGGCAGTGACTACAGATGACTTGACAAACGCGTTCGCCAAGATACTTCACAAGCCCCCTTTTCAAACCGGTCCTCTCCTGAATTTTGAAATTCACCTCTCGGACGAGTCACACCCTAACGGACAGCAAGGCACCCTTACTCTGCCAACTGAGGATGCTGGGGTCACTTTCTTGCGTGCTCATGGTGGCGCAGGGATTGTCGTCAAAGGTCGACCAGTCCTCATCAGCAGGAGCACGCAGGCGATCCACGAGTTCCGTATTGAGAGGTTGAATAACGTTCCATGGCGCGACCCAATACAGTTGCGAGAAGAGCAGGAAAGGCTTCTCAGGAGAAACCAGTCTTTCCAGCTTCTCCGCTACTCATTCGGCCGCTTCTGCCGGGACGGATCTTTTTCTTCGCAAGTCTCCCCTCCTGGCACAGCTCATGTCATTTGTGATACAGAGCCGAGGCAGATACGCTTCACTTTCGAGCCTCGACAGAAGTCACAAAACACAAATGACAACCTCTTTGGGGAGATTTTTGGACACGTAACCCGAGTCGTCACCGCATCTTATGCGCCTCACAATATCGCGACACTGGTAGGTAACCGGGATGAAGACACCGCTATTGTGTTCGTCCGTGCCGATGAGCCCCCTGTGTACACCTTGGTTAATAACATATTGGACGACACTAGTCGTGTGGTGGGCTTGGGGCGTAATGATCACATGCCTCCGGGATGCCATAGTCTGATGCTGGCCTTTAATAGCCAGTCAGACGCAGATAGGTTCACTTATGCATGTTGTAATCGTCTCCATCTGCGTTACTCCACACAACACCATATCCGAATTCGTGATCACACCTTGAACACTACATCTTTTGAGAAGCTTCACGAGACACTCTCTCAGATCCCATACAAGCTTGGGTTCGAAGTAGAAAAGACCGTCGCAGATTCTCTTTTGAGTGCGACGGACATTCTTTCGCTGAAGGAGGTCATCCTATCATTGCAAGCTGAACATGGCGACGATGCGCCAGAAATATTTCGGTCCTTTGTCTCGGAGCTCGCAGGACGCAGTGCGAGTCGTACAAAACGTCGCAAACGCCGGGCACGGCGGCAATCCAGCCAAGAGAGTTTGCCTTCTCTTCTTCGTCGAGTTACCCAAGAATTTATCAAAGAGCATCAAAAGCCCCGTCCTCTTCTAGCTCCGCCACCACAGAGTGGGGTCTACCTATCCTACCATCTCATCGTAACGCCGACACGGTATATCCTAGAGGGACCTGTCCCAGACCAGTCTAATAGTGTCTTACGTCGCTATGGACATCCCGAGTGCTTCCTGCGTGTCTGTTTCCAGAACGAGAATGGATCAAAGCTTCATCGGGAAGCCGATTGTTCCATTATAGACCTTTTGGGGGTGCGATATCGCTCTATCCTCCTCAATGGCTGTTGCGTCGCTGGACGCCAATTCCAGTTCTTGGGATATTCTATGAGCGGTCTGAAAGAACATTCAGTGTGGTTTGTGACGCCATTCAAGGATGAGGATGGGAAATTGTTGAATGCACAATCGATCCGAGACAACCTGGTGAGTTGCTGCCATTGGCCTTCATCGATCTCTTGAACTGAATGCAACCATTAGGGAAATTTCTCCAAACTTCACAAACAACCAGCTCGTTTGGCTGCAAGGTGGTCTCAAGCCTTCTCTGGTACTGATCCATCAATTACACTTCTTCCCGAAGAAATAGACTTTCGTTGCCCCGACAGATACTCGCCTTCTGGCGGACTTATGACAGACGGGTGCAGCTCTATATCAGTTGAGCTTGCCAGGGATATATGGAGGTCTATGCAAAAGGGGAAAAAGCGATCTGCAAAGCTACGACATGTTCCATCTGCCTTCCAATTTCGACTTGGCGGGGCCAAAGGCATGGTCGTTCAAGACCCCACCATTCAAGGAAAGCTTGTCCGCCTTCGTCCGTCGCAGATCAAGTTTGATGCCCCCGAGAATCTTACTTTTGACGTCCAATCGACGTCAGCGGAACCAATACCGGTGTTCCTTAATCGCCCACTCATCTCTCTTATGGAATTCTTGGGTGTAGAGACTCAAAGAATCATTGAACTACAGGACGATGACATCTACAAAGCTCAATCCGTCCGGTCGTCGTGTACCAATGCCTCGAAAGTTATTCAGCAACACGGACTTGGGGCATCCTTCCACCTACCGTCTCTCTTCACAAACCTATCGTCCATTTTGCAACTCGAAATTGGAGACACCGAAGATGACCCGTCTCTGTGGACCAGCAAGCTCATTGAAAGCTCGCTGCAGTGCGTCGAGACGTACATCCTGCGGGAACTAAAGTACCGTGCGCACATAGCAGTGCCGGGTTCGTATACCTTGCTTGGCGTTTCCGATGAATGGGGTTGCCTGAGAGAGGGAGAGATATATGCAACCGTGTTTAATGAAAGGACGGGATTTGTTCAGAGCATCACGGGAAAGGTTGCCATAACGCGCAGCCCACAAATTCACCCAGGCGATCTGCAAGTTGTGAGGGCCGTACAACGGCCAGAGTTGGAACACCTGAAGAATGTCGTCGTTTTTTCCTGCGAGTAAGTCCTGTTAATGATTCGGTACAAAGGCACGCTGAATTATATCGTCGACAGGGGCGAACGAGCGCTTGCATCATGTCTGGGTGGAGGTGATCTTGATGGCGATATTTTCAATCTAATTCTTGATGTAAGCTCAAAGTTTCGAAACATCCATTCATGCCTGAACTTTCCATAGCCGAGACTGCTACCAACGAAACACTTCAAACCCGGAGAATATCCGGCAGTGACCATCAGATCGATACCGAATGCGTGTGGCATCTCCGATGTCGCAGATTTCGTAATTGACTATGTGAGTTACATCCTGACTTTAAGTTTAAATGGCTGCAAGATGAACTGTGAAATATAGATTCAGGCCGACCTCATTGGTCCCATCGCCATAAGTCATCTCAGGTTTTCTGACTTGAAGACTCCAAATTGCACGGAATGCATTCAACTCGCGGGGTTTGCCTCCCAGGCACTCGATTTTCGAAGAGCGGTACTCCTGTAAACTTCAAATCCCTACCTTGGCTTCGGAGGACCCAAGCTAGGCCAGATTTTCTTGCCAAAGAAGGCGCTAATATCACCGGCGGGCAATACTACACCAGCCCAAAATTACTCGGTCAACTCTTCCGTCGGGTGCCAATGAAGAGGGGGATACCTACTGCATGGAACGGGGATTCCTCTCCATCGGACGGAGCCACTGTGGAGGTGGCGCTCTCTTACGTAGACCTCCGTCATCGTGGCCTTCCAGGATTGACCGATCCGAGTGAAGAGTTGATGGAGGAGATGACATATCTACTCAACGCATATTGCGAACAGCTACTGATCGTCGGGCAAGCGCACACAATTTCGAAAAACAAGAATATTCACGTCTCCGAGGCCGAACTGGTGAGCGGGACCATCATGGCGAATTGGTCCGACCATCATCGTCGGCGGAATGCAGTCTCCGCGATGAACTTGCAGGTCAGCGTAACATTCATTCTGCGTTACGGGTTCTTTAACGATACTTTCAGACGCAAGAGCTCGTTCGTAGGGTCAGGGAAGAACTCCAAGGAGATGACCCGGGGACACCAGAGACAGAAACGGATCAGGATGAGGACGAAGTCCCAGGTACACCAGAGACGGAAACGGATCAGGATGAGGACGAAGTCCCAGGTACACCAGAGACGGAAACGGATCAGGATGAGGACGAAATCCCAGGTACACCAGAGACAGAAACGGACGAGGAAGAAGACTCAGAAACGGATGAGGATGAGGACGAAGCCCCAGGTACACCAGAGACAGAAACGGATCAGGATGAGGACGAAGTCCCAGGTACACCAGAGACGGAAACGGATCAGGATGAGGACGAAATCCCAGGTACACCAGAGACAGAAACGGACGAGGAAGAAGACTCCGAAGATTGCACCTTCCACGAACGGTGCGAAGAGTCAGAACAGCGAGTGATGGCAGAAACGTTCAAGCGCTGTTGGGCAGCGTGGTGTGTAGCAGAAGATAACCTGAAGGAAGATCCGAGCGTGTTTGGAGCTCAGAGTTTTGGTTTAATCGCTCTGGGCATGATGCTCGACATTGTGAAGACGTCTCGTCTCGTGATGTAAAAGATCGATGGCGAGAATTGGCTGGTACGTAGTCCTTCGTGCGCGATGTATACCTACATGTAATACCAAGTGATGATTCGTATGTAAAGTAGGCCCCTGTAGCAGTGGAATTGTATACTATGTGTTGACTATGAGTTTCATGTTTCTGAATTGAAAAATGAAGATTTGCGTCCACACAATCCATGTACTCTCATAGTGTTTATATACTGGCCAATGCACTACTGTATTACAGGGGAATCCAGGTGAGTATGAACTTGATGGCATAAAACAAGCGAGTCCTGGGTAATAATATTGTGACACGGCAGTTTGAAGTAGGCCACAAATACGTTTGAATCTTGTTACTATTTTCCTGAAAAGTAGTTCCAGCCTTAGGCACATCTAGAAGGCCGAAACTCGCTAAGCGAGTCTCGAGCGCTACACTCTCCGTGCGGGCTGACATTGTTGCATTGCTCTGATGACAAGATGGAGGAAAATTACAGCCCATACAGGGGTGTGCGTCGTGGCCTTTAATTACATACACAAGTATTAAACGCAATGCACAGATCTGCGTAAAAGGTCTCGACGAATAGGGAATCACACTCCCGTTGTATGATAGGCAATAGTAGTCCAATATCTCGTATGAGCGAGTACTTGAGTTGCGAGAAGTCATTCTGGGTGGCGTGATCAGCGTTGTTTCTCACTTTAGCATGAACGAGATGAAAAATAAATGCGGAAAGGATTGCGGTACTGTGGTGTACATGTATTCAATTAGGACAGTGAAAAGAGGCTGACCATGGCGACCATGACATAGCCGATATATGACAGGAACCTATGAAGTGTGAGTTGATTGAAGATGTGGTTGGAAGATTAAAAGAAAGATACGGTTCGGAACAATAACTTCAGGACACGAAGTAAGATACCGGAAGATGTATTCAAAATTACAAAATGCGTCGGTCATAACGACTTGCGACTAGCATAAGGTTGTCCTCTAAAGAGCATGGCGAGAAGAAAACGATACAAAAGATACAAAACTTTGCCAACGATGTCTTCACTCGAGCCATTCAAGGCCCTGGAGAGGTCGATGTCATCAACATGATTATTGTCTCCTTTCGTAGCATCAGTTGATGTTGTCCTGGTGGGAGATTGAGCTTTGCAGGTCTGCTTCAGGTAGGTCGTGGTTGGATCTCATCAAATGCCTTTCTTTTGCATTACTGCGGCGAACTGCATAGGAGAAATGATAGCAAGTTCACCTGTTATTGATGACGCGCATCTCCTTCGAACTGTCAAATGGGATAGACGTCCCAGGCCTCCATGACATGGTGCACGAGGGAAATGTTGGCTCCGGTGATTTTATACACTGTGATGTCACCTATGTATAAGTAATGTTCGCCTACGAAAAAATCAAGACGACAGAATGCTAGTTCCATCGAGCCAAGGTGCCATGGGAGGTATTAGGCTAAGAATCAATTTCGGACGCGGCGGAGAAATGAAGATGGCTTTATGTAAGTTGAATGTCGAATTATGCGGAGCTAAATATATAACGATTTCAGTAAAGTATTCAAAAAAATGTCCCATTGCAAGACGGGCCCTCGATTCATGGCATATGGTAGGGCAAGACGTCCACAACGCCGTAGGGTTGAACTACAAACGACGAAGACACGTCGACACGACAAATGTGAAGTCAGTGTTAGAAAGAATTAAGTGCTGGAACAAAGACTCATAATCCTAGTCTTCGAAATGCCTTGACCTCGTCTGTGTCAGCGGCAGTTTGAGGTGACTGAATGTCACTGAAACTGGTCACACGTACTCACGGCGCTATTAACTAGGTTTCTGTCTTTCACTTTCTTCATTACGCAGTGTGAACAAGAATCTCAAAATGTGTTGTTGTACAAAACTTACGTACCCAGGTATCATTGGGTCTAATTGCCACAGTCGTCGGTCAATTGTCAAGCTTCAAGACCTATCAAGACCCCTATATGCTCCCAAGTTATTTGACGCAGTCGTGTCCAGGCGTCTCGTCTTGCCCGCACACAGTCTGAGCACCAGCCCTCGTCCACATCCCATTTGATGTCAATCAAGGCTTGAAGTCCGCACAAAGGATCAAACTGATACTCGTCGTAGAGCCCAGAATCATGCACGCGCCTCTCCCAAGCATCTCGCTTTGAAGATAGGGATGGACATTTGGAGGAATGCGCCAGCGAAGTAGACGAACTCGGCCCAGTACTTGCAGGGAACCCAAGGACACTCCCGGATGTCTCCTTTGGTTGGTTTGGACATGTGGAGGAACTGTCCACTCGATTTGCAACCTGGGACCACATCAAGAGGAGATGCTCTCTCATGCGTTCCAGACGCCTTTCGTCTGTGCGACCGATTTCCTGGGACCCTTCTCCATTGTCAGCGACCAACTCGCTATCGCTGAGACCATAGTCCACCACCCGAACCCGAACCATTTCATAGAAGGCCCTCTTCAACACGCGTTCAATACCGCAAGTCCGTGCGAGGACTACAACTTCCATTGCGTTAGGTTTCTCGTCTGTGGAGAGATCCGCCAGAGACGAGGACCAAGCGTTCTCTAAGAGTCTCACGGCGAAAGCTCGATGTGTGCCGAAACCTAACGCAGTCGCTGCACGAATGATAGCAGCCAAGACTGGGAATGGAGGTGGAGTAAAATAATATGTCCTGAGAGTGACGGTAAATATCGTACGAAATGAACAAAAGGTCTCCTTACATTTGGTTCCTATCGAGCTGTAGCAGTGCCTCAAGATCTTTTGATGTGGTGTTTGACAGGTGGTACACCGTCCCGTTTTCATCGCTTTCGACCACGACACTGTCGTCCACCTGCACATCAAGCTCATCCAAGAGGCCAGCAAAAAACGTCGACTGATCAACGAGCCTAGAACGGTGGAGTTTGAAGAGCACGCCTCCAACCTCGAGGACCGTGTTCCCATCAAGGATCCAGAATTGTTCGTGTTTATGAACTACAGGTGCAGCCCCTACCAACCTTCGATGCTTTGTGGGGCGGAGGTTCTCCGTTGAAATGTCCTCTTTACAACTGGGAACTGATTCAATCGAAGCCTTTCTCTTCCCCTTGCGATTGTTCTCGTTCCTTTCCCCATCGTCATCGTTAGAAGTAGCAAGATGTAATGGAGTCGAAGAGCTTGAGGGCTCTATTAGAGCACAACGTTTGTGAGCTGCAGGATGTGGCCGTTTGGGCTGTGGCGTTGGCAGTGAGGGGGAAGATGGGAGACCATGGATTACCGTCAGTGAATTAGAGAGGTTCAAAGAGATATCACCCTGTGAACGGACAGCGGGAGCAGAACCTTGCACTCGACCTTTCGGAATGGTGGACTTGGAAGGCTGTGATGCTGGTGGACATGTCTTTGCGAGCATCTCAGACACGGAAGATAAGTCAGGCTCGGAAGAGGATTCTAACTCTGTCCTTGATGGAAATTTCCCCTTCAAGGAAAGATCAATGCTCAGGTCCAAGGGAGGGATGCGGTCGTACGATGGCAAGGGGAAAGGCTGAGACTGGGGAGGCGCATGAAGAGATGGTGAGGGAGATGGGGTACCTCTAGTAGAGCCAGGTAGTGGTGTTCTTTTTGATTTAGCTTTAGATGATTTGACGTGGCTAGACGACGCTGATGATAACCTCGTAGAACTGCCGCGGCTTGCTGGAAGTTCACCCGGAGCAGCATGCACTGAAGAGTCGGCTTCATAATTATCTTCACCGTTTTCGTCCTTGCTTTCGGCACCTTTGTTTTCAGTCTCAGCTTCGTCTTCGCTTCGTTTCCGTCATCATTCGAACAGTCTTCGTCGCCATCTTCATCTTTATAAAAATCTGAATCGTCTTCGTCTACACCTCCACTGCGATCATCGGCTGTGTTGTTTTGCACCTCTACATTCTGGCTCTGATGAGGAGATAGCGGCATAGGAATTTTTGCTAGCGATAAACGACCCCTGTAATGAACAGACAGACGACGGGGAAGACCCTGCCAGTCAATGCGGCCATCAGCGAACATTCGTCGGCCGTGAGAGTGTGCGGAGCGAGGTATGGGGGGCCTCTCCTATGATAACGGGGTCTTCTGAGGAGGTGAGGCGTGCGCGGGCAGCGTCACTTGTAACTGCTCGGATGGTAAGGGTGCCCGACTTGAGGGCATTGATGAGACTGTGACGATGTTGGGCGGTCAGATCCCTGGTGCCTTTGGCATGAACGAGATCAACTCGCGTCTCGCCAGGCATCAAAGTCTTCTCAGGGTAGTCGACGAGGACATATCCGAGGCGGGCTAGTTCTTTTGGTAAAGTTTTCCAAGGGAAGTTACCACGAGTGGGCCCACGCAGTGTGCCACCAAGAGACGCTAAAATAGCGTCAAGATATCGGTGCAAAATGCGTAGTGACGAGACTTACCGACGAGCGCCGTTATCCCACCTGTAATACAAGGAATCCCTGTGAGGGTCTTCCATTCCTCACTGACTTGGAGCCCTTCGTCGGCGGACTCACTAGCCTCAGTTGTTGCTCGCACTGCTGCATCCATGGGCTGGAAGTGGGTCAGCGGGATCCGGACATTAAAATTACTGGGTGACTCACAGTGCGAATAATTGAGGGCGAAGCCGTCAGCGTAGCAGCGTCGACGAGGTGGGGTGACCTTGATGTGATCGCGGTCGTGTTCAAGTTGTAAGAGACCGCGTACAAACAATGTACGGCAGTTAAATATCAATCGATTAATAACCGTAGAAAACTTTTCAGTATAGGTGATTGCAGTAAGTTCAAGGAAGACCTAGTAGGAAGCTTTCAAAATGTTGAACTTCGGAGAGCTCAAGGCACTGGCAGAGGATTACATGCTATGACTTACCGAGAGCAGCAACTGTGACCCAAGGCACCGGATACATAGCCTCAGTCTCACTGATCTGGACGCTCAAGAGGGCCAAGGGTCGCACGTTTTTCAGAGGCTCCCGCGAGGTGCTGGCGGCCTACTAGGTCTTTGGGTGTATATCAGATTTATTCCGAGTCAGCCTAGTAGCGTCCCGGGCATCTCTGTCAAAGAAAAAAAACGCACAACACACATGTCCGTGCTCAGCGCTTAACGTTCAACGCCCAACACCAGCAAACTCCAATCAAATACCGTGACTGCGGCTCATTCCAAACACCATACCCCTTCGAGTTTTTGAAGTGAGTCATAACTTCAAATAAGCCCAGTTGCAGTTTTTCCCGATACCCATCGATCGTAGACAAGGCGCTTCCTCTGTGACTGTAGGAATTGAGTAAAGCCGGCCCTACGGTGCTAGTCCTATCTGCTGGGCCCTGGCCACTAGTATTGGTTCCGAAATGCAATATTACGTGATGTGTCATCAATAACTAGGGGTTCGCGTTGTGAACTTCTGACCTTGTTCCGATGTGCAGGCAATTGGCCAGTTTTTGCAATTGTTGTAGTTTTGAGTTTCTAGATTTTATAAACAGGTTTATGTTTTCAAATTTTTACGATGTTCTTTGATTCTCACGTGACTACAACAGCAAAGTGACAGCATATCAGGTTGACAGATTTTCCTTCTTTGGTAATTTCAGTAATCCCCGGACCCCCAGGCCAGTAGGTCCTGCCGCAGAAGTTCAAGTGTAACTGTACCGTCCACCTCGTTGAGTTTTTATACTTGACATTGGGAGTTCGACTCCTCCCCCTAGAGGCTCTTAGATGAGATGCTGTTTTCCCGTCCGCTAACAGTACAAGTTCATATATATATACTGCCGTCCTCGTCTTTCCGTTGTAATTCCAAAGGGGCGTGATGGTGTAGCTGCACCATCCGCCTCGAATTGGGTTTTTGCACCTGACGTCGAGGGTTCGACCCTACCATTCAGAGACTCTCCTGTTTTGCCATCCGCGAGTGCATATGTTTATATATATACTGCCACCCTTGTCTTTCCTTTCGTTCTCCATAGGGGCGTAATGGTGTAACTGCATCATCCGCCCTGAACTGGGTTTTGACACCTGATGCTGTGTGTTCGACCCCGCTCCTTAGACGCACGTCTTTTTGACTATTATGTTCACGAGCGTCAGTTTGACGAAAATAGTTCATAACTCATGACCAGCTACCAATCAGCGTGTTGCTTCACCAGTGTTTGTATGATCGTGAGGGGAATCCCATTGCTGAGCATTGTTACGTGTTGCTCTTGCTGATCTGAAACTCAGTCCCTTTGCAGCAAGTTCTGCTATAGCAAAAGTCAACAGGATCAACCTGCATCGATCTATCGAGAACATGGCAGTAACGATGAGTACAGGTGGATAATATACATGTAAATCCCACCACCAAGATAAGACTGCCCATTGCAACGAGCTCACCAAGGAAGTGAAAGTCAAATTGCAGAGCAAGATAAGGACATTTCCTCTGTCGCCTCAAATTCTTCTTCAGGTATTTCGTCACGCTCCGCGCTTTCACGTAAACGTTTGATCTCCTTCCGGATGGAATAATAGATCAGCCTGTACAGGGTGAGTAGAGCTCCGTTAGGAATAGCAGTGACGTGGACACGAACGAGCTGGCTAAAACACTTGACAGACTACCAATGATAATTAAAAAGCCATTGAAAAACTTTGTTCCTGCGCACCATGAATCAGTGAGAGCAGAATGGGATGACATGGGTTCTCACGTGTATACATACGATTTCTCTGTTTGCTGTCTGAGAGTCTGGCAAGACAAAATCCGATGAATACGTTTACCCAGACCTTTGGGAAGACAAACAAAGTCGCTATGAAGAACCGGAGAAACGATACCGACGCTATGCTCTGACGTGAAGGCGTTAGATCTAAATCATACTAGTAAACAATTGAAAAGCTTACTGCGAATAGCGAGTTTGACCAAGCCCACGGCACAAGTGAAGACATGCGGATGAGGATGATCAAGGGCATGCCTCTTGATCGCTGTAGGCGTCTTCTACTAAGCAAATATGCCGATGCTAATTAAACACACTGACTATGACAGCTTCCAGAGCCTGCCATTTCTGGTTAGTGGAAGTCCGCAAACGCAACCTCTTGCCAAACATCATCCGAAGGGTAACAAAAACTATAGTGGAGGCTGCCATTGTTCCAACCGCTGCAGGGAAGAAGCCCCACATGCCGTATGTGAAACCGAACATGTGAAGGAGTGTGCCATGTCCGATGAAAGGGGGGAATGATGTGATAACTGAGGGCAAACATGTTCGAACATCAGATGAAAGCATACAAGACATGCTCACTCATGGCAACGATAAGAAGCATGTACCCATATGGAAGAGATCGAAGGTCTTGAGAGATGTCATACATGAATTGAGTGATGCGAACTGGAGTGACCGCGAGGATGAATGCAGCTAAGCAGACATAGAAGAATACAATGACCCATATCAAAGGCTGGAGCAGCATCGTCAGTTGACACGAGAACACTAAAATTCAATACCAATGTCACCTTTCTGACTAGATATCTCAAGCTAGGTGATCTTACGAGACGCTTGAGAAAACGAGCCGCCTTCACGGGCGTGGGCAACATCTTTGAGATTTCTCGACGAAAAAAGTTTTGGTGATTGTAAGGGTTGATGCTAACGTTGAGGTCAAAACCAAAGTGGATTCATCCCACAATCAGCGACGATCTCCGGTTCCCAGACATCCTCCAGCAAGCAATGTCGAATATGGCAAAGCCAGCGGGCTGTCGGGCTGTGGGTGTTTACAGCTTTCAGCCTCGTCATCAAAATTGTCCACGTACAATTTGCAATTGTGAAGAGTAGTAGCTGAATGAAGAAATGTTCGTCATCAATTCAACTGTCCAGCTTGCTTTATATTCACGTTTTGTCCCATAAGATCCTGGAACGAGGATTCAGACTGGTGCTTGCACAATCAAGATCTATCAAACAGTGGCTCACTTCTATGTAACTCAGCCTTTCCTTGCGTACATGAACGTGACCTCTTCGTCACCTTTCCGATCTCCATTAACACTGCAATACGGGTTGTCGTGCTTATTCTAATCCATATCTTATATGATCAGCTTCCTCTGTGATCGCAAAGATTCACACTTACATTTTCGCTCAACAAAACAGAGGCCTGTTCCGCCATTAAAATATGGAATTTTGTGCCCAGCCGGAGACTGAGGACTGAAATCAGCGATAACAAAACAATGCAACAGAAACGTCAGGCGAGTCCTGGGCGATTAATACCCGCTGCGCCCAACAACGAGACAGGTGCAGCGACGGGCTCTTCATACTGTATAGCAACACCATGGAGAACCCATCGCTACACCTGACCATGATAATGTCAATCATGGGCACCCAAGGCCGCCTTGGGTGCCTACTATGACTGGCAGCGCGGTGTGATCGATTAGTAGGACGCTGCGATGTTTGTTGAAAATTCAATAGAAAGGTTACCATCAGGATCGTGACACAGAGAATCATGGATGCCAGTAACTCACTGGGTCGATCGTCGAGTTTAATGTCCCGGCACTGTACGAGTCGTCGTCGAGAACAAGCACCAAACATCACTATCAGTACACAGCCACGCTCAAACACGTCCAAAAATAGAACATCAAAGTTACCGACGTGGAAGGTTGCACGCAACCGACACACTAGACAGTTGCAATTGGCATTAACGCTGGTCTCATCAACGGTACAACGGCCATTTTAAAGAGATGCGGCTTCTCAGCTCTGCGCTCATAACTCTCCTTGCACTTACAAAACTCAGTTTTGCAAGTTCGAGTTCTGTTCTTGTGGTTCTCGACCCGTCATTAGACAGGGAGGACTATTCGATTTTCTTTGGTGGACTTGAAGGTTTGTGTTTAGTTTCAATGGGTGTTTGGTGTTGACTGATTTATTGGTAGAACGAGGCTATAATTTGACGTTCCGTGCTCCCAAAGACGCTAGTCCTGCGATCACCGACTATGGCGTGCCAAACTATGACCACGTCATCCTGTTCGCGCCCGACACAAAATGTGCGTACAAAATTCCTAGTACAAGCCTTCTAACCTCAATCCAATCATAGCATACGCACAAGACATCACTCCGCAGTCACTCGTAGGCCTGCTCTCAGAGAACACTAACCTCCTCATCGCCCTCTCTCCAAAACAAACACCCCTCACAAGCCTCGCGGCAGAGTTCTCACTCATCCTCCCGCCTCCAGAAACACCACTCATTTCCCACCACCCCGCTCGCTCAGGGCCTCCAACCACAATCCCTGTCACTGTCTCATCATCAAGTCCAATCCTCACCCCAGGAATACCCCCAGTCTGGTTCACAGGCGCATCCCATGCACTAGGCTCTACCCCAATGCTCATCCCCATCCTCCGCGCCCCCCGCAGAAAGCTTCGCAGCTGACCCCACAAGCGACACTGACAGCGACGCCCTCGTAACCGCTTCCGAAAAAGGTGGCGAAGGCCTCTGGGCAGGAAGCCAAATGGGCTTAGTCACTGGATTCCAAACGAACGTGAACTCGCGCGTGGTGTTTGCAGGCGGCGTGAAAATGTTCAGTGACGAATATGCGGGGAAGGAGCTCCCTTCTGGGGAGCTTCCCGGGAACGCTTTGTTCGTGGCGGATGTGGCTGCGTGGGTTTTCCAGGACAAGATGAAGTTGAGGATTGATGGGGTCGACCATCATCGGGTTGGTGAGAGTGGGGCGCCGGAGATGTATACTACTAGTGATGAGATTGTAAGTTTTACTTACTGGTTTTGAGTGGGACTTGGTTGACGTGGCGTCTTGTGAAAGGTGTATACGGCGCATATCTCTGCGTACGACAGCCAGACCTCCACATGGAAGCCTTACAGCGGTATCGACGACTTGCAGTTAGAATTCACGATGCTCGATCCTCACATCCGTACCTCTCTGCCAGCTGTTCCTGGCTCTCCTGGTACATACCAAGTCCAGTTCCGCGCTCCTGACAGACATGGTGTTTTCAAGTTTGTCCTGAACTGGAAGAGGAAGGGGTTAGTGCATTACTTCATCTTCGTGTTGTCTTCCCAACTAATTGATTCATAATCAGTTACTCATACCTCGAATCAAGTACGACCGTCCCTGTCGTGCCGCCGAGACATGACCAATACCCGCGTTTCTTGAGCGCCGCGTGGCCGTATTATGCAGGAGCTATCAGCACCAGCGTTGGATTTTTCCTTTTCTCAGCTTTGTGGCTTGCAGGTGACGTCAAAGGCGAGCGGAAGAAGGGATCCAAAGTGGAGTGATTGTTCAGCCATGCTCAGTTACGGAAATAAAATATCTCACTAACATGCGTCGATAATCGTTTTACCTGTATCTCGCAAGTTTGGTGCTCTATGTACATGCTGTTCGACAAGAATTCTCTGGTTGCGCACATCTGTAGATGGAAAGTACTGTGTACGACAGTATGCATATGCAAGAAAGAGAAGGGTCTACATATGGTCAAGCCCAAAAGCACGCGATATATTACGACTTTGCCGGTGGAGCCCGGAACACTTGTCGAAGGTTGTCCCAAACAACGCTAGGACTTTGAGCGGCATCGATACCATGCCACAAGCCCTTTGTCTTATAGTATTCTGCGACAGGACCAGTCTGCTTGTGGAACGTGTCAAGACGTTTGCGCAGCGTTTCTACGTTGTCATCGGAGCGCTGGATGAGGGGCTCGCCTGTGACATCATCTGTCATAGGTTTTTTAGGCGGACTAGTACGAGAATGTATTAGTGTTTTTGTGTGCATAGCGTTAGTGTGAGACGTACTGGAACTCTCTGTGATACGTCCGTCCTGAAGCCGAGTGGATGAGACGGCCGGTGATTCGGGAGATGAGAAGTTGATCAGGGATGAGGAGCTCGACGACGCTGTCGAGCTTTTCACCGCGGGAGTCAAGCATAGAATCGAGTTTCTCAGCTTGAGGAACAGTCCTCGGGAAACCGTCCAACACGAATCTGAGCCCCATATCAGAACCGACACGAATAGATCAAAAGAGATGGATAAAACGCACCCGTTCTTGCACTCCTTGTTATTCTCAAGCTGATCCTTGATCATGTTAACCATGATATCGTCCGTGACCAGTTCACCGGCATCCATAACTTTCTTAGCCATCCTCCCCAACTCGGTTTTCTTGGCTATTTGCTCGCGGAGCATGTCGCCCGTTGCCAGGTGGCAGACGCAGAACTCGTCGCGTATCTGAGGGGCTTGCGTTCCCTTCCCTGTGAACCGTCATCGATGTCAATACATTCATCTCACCGGAGATTAATTATCCATGTATATAGATAAGAAAGACTGACCAGCACCAGGAGGACCCATAAGAATAGTCCTAAGCTGTTGAGCAGGGGTCTTGCTCGGAGGAATGACAGCCTTGGCTTTCGCCTCTAACGCAGTGAATTTTGTCGTTGAGCTGCGCTACGAGGTGCTTGAGGTACTCGAGTTCGTCTGAGGGTGCCATTCTTGAGTATGGGTGACCGACGAATACTTGAGACTTGGTGACCGAGGAAGTTGGGAAGGAAGACGTGGAATTTCAAATGGGCGCTCCCTGTCTAGTTAATGTACGTATCTATTCGGGATACGAGTGTGGTAAATTTTAGACGGAGTTTGAGCGCGCCGCCGGCGTATAAGGTTTTCTGCCCGTGGACCCACGACTATCGTGACGAGGTTGACTGTCATCGGCTCATCGACTGGTCACCGGTCATCGATCGAATAATTTTGTCATCTTTCAGCCTCACAGATGTAGTTATTAGCATCTACTGCTGATGCAAATATCTCTCATCTTTGAATTTTGCAGAAGGACTTTGGACTTGTGCGGATTTATCGCGCTTTCGAAGAGTGCGTGTATGTAACTTGTGACTTCTCATCGTCGATGCAGGCACGTCAGACCTTGGTCCTTGTGGGTTTCGTCTTCGAGTGTTGTTAATGCTCATGTAGATTTACTCCATCAGCGAACCTATCATGATAAATGTGGATTGCCCTTGGCCCATTTCGATGCTAACGCTGTCTGGAGCCCACATAAGAATCAGATAAGATGGCCATGAAAATAGGTACGTGATTTTCGTTCGTCTCATGTACCAATCCAAGTCTTCTGATCAATGACTTTCCGAGTCTCTGTATGTAGTTGGTAAAATCTGTTTAGACTAGCTGCTTTTCTTCGCTGTTGCAATATCCATAGCCATATTTAGCAGAAGCAAAATTCTGTCCTCCTATAGTTCCCACAGCCACGTGGCACCATGTCAGTTCTCTGATGCCCTTAGTCTACGTGCAAATAAGCGAGGTGGTGCAGCACCTTTACTCCTGGCCACCTCGCAGCGTCCTTTAGCATTCTAAGTATTGGCTACTCTTCACTACGTCTTTTTACATCCGCCCACCACTCCCCGATCAGCATGTGAACAAAATTTTTATCTAACCACTACGATCATACGATGAGTTAAAAACGACAGTTTACTCTCTTTTGTCCAACCCATGGTGTACGCTTCTGAAAGTCGCTTCCATAGTAGATGATCTCATCGGGCCCAGCCTACCCTCGCAGCTCACCTTTGCGCCTTTAGTGACGGTCCCAAGTTTTGGACCGGAAAAGCCCTTTGAGCTTCTCGCCCAAATAACCCAACAAACAGTCCTTTCGCCCTATTATTCTTTCTCTTGCAGTATCGCTGGTACCAACGCGTCAATGTCGCCTACAGATCCCCGCTCGAAATAATGTCATTTGATCGTCCTTTACCAGAAGCCACTAAGCCATGCAGCACATAGACCTCATCCTTGGGCCTGGCTTTATGAGGTTCGGCCCCAAGGGCCTGAGGTCGGGCCCAATGCATTACCTGATAGGAAAAATAAATATCTAGTGCATTTAAAGGTCGTGGCTCGCGTCCTGCTAAATCTACCAGTATGGTGTCGATGACGCAGAGCAACGGATGCAGAACATTGTCCGTGCGCAGGGCCGGCTGTTGAAGAAGAGCGGCAGGATGATTGACAGTGGGAGTGACGAGTTTCAGATTGCATCATGAGGCGCTGCTTTGGATTCACTTGTCCATGGCTATCGATGTAGTCGGCCGGCAGGGCTTTCAGTTGCTAGATCTGCTTCTATACAGCACCAGCGACGTAGTGCTTTACCAGGCTATATAAAATACCATGCATTACAAAATGGGCAAATCGTACTTGATCCAAACAACAGATGCAAAAATACATAGAAACTACGCTCATGGGTGACCTCTATGATAGTACAACCAGGCTTTTGAACACGCCACTGCTCAAGAGCTTGAGAGAACTCGAGGGGTAGGTGTGACAGATTGGAGTGCTAGCGCCGGGCTGCGCGTCAATGGCTCAAGAGTCCGGATTGAAGATTAAGGCGTCATATCATGGACTAAATACAATGGAACATAAGGCGACATCAGTTGTGGCTACCTTGAATCGTTGAAACACACACCTTCACAGATTTTTGCCCTTCAGATAAGACGGCGAGGCAAGATCGCAGACCCTTCAAACACCACTCCATTTCCAGCCAGGGAATAATATAATCATTCCAAAAAGCCTGGTATACGTGCTTGAGCATGTCATTCCATGGATGGGGAGCACGCGAGAGATGTACAGCCCAGTTGTGACAGGCGTACTTGTGAGCGTCGGAAGCTGATTGGCTTCGTTCCTGTGCTTCATGTGCGAACCTCTCGAAGGCATTCATAGCATGGATTATGTCCTTGTCTGGTAGAAGAAGGCTTTCTGGTAATGCAGAGGTGGAATGATGCTGGTGTCTTAATGCCAGGAACGCCGGAAACATCAAGAAATCTGGCAAGGTCTCGAACTGCTGGATTACTTGAAAAGCTGGCGGTAAAGGCACATCGCTGGTAATGATATACCCGTCGATCGCTTCCAATGTCCTCACAAATTCTTCTATTAGCACCCAGACGGAGGCCGCAGGGGTGGACTGCCATGCCTGACCAGGGGGAGTCTGCAGCCAGTCTTGCCCACACGGGGTCTGCAGCCACTCTCGTCCTCCCTGGGTCTGCAGCCACTCTTGTGCTGCCTGGGTTTGCAGCCAGTCTCCTCCAGCCTGGGTCTGTAGCCACTCTTGTCCTGTCTGTGCCTCCAGCCAATCTCGTCCTGTCTGGGTCTGCAGCCAGTTTCGTCCTGTCCGGGTCTGCAGCCAGTTTCGTCCCGCCCGTGTCTGCAGCCAGTCTCGTACTCCTTTGGTCTGCAACCAGTCTCGGCCTCCCTGGGTCTGCAGCCAGTCACGTACTGCCTGGGTCTGCAGCCAGTCTCGTCCTCCCTGGGTTTGCAGCCAGCCTCGTGCTCCCTGAATCTGCAGCCAGTTTTGTGCTCCGTAGGTCTGCAGCCACTCTCGTCCTCCCTGAGTCTGCAACCACTCTCGTCCTCTCGGAGTTTGCAACAACTTTTGTGCTCCTTGGGTCTGCAGCCAGCCTCGTCCTTCCCCCGTCTGCAGCCAGTCTCGTCCTCCCTCCGTCTGCAGCCAGTCTCGTCCTCCATAGGTCTGCAGCCAGGCTCGTCCTCTGTAGGTCTGTAGCCACTCTCGTCCTCCCCGGGCCTGCAGCCACTCTCGTCCTCCCTCCGTCTGCAGCCAGTCTCGTCCTCCGTAGGTCTGCAGCCAATAATCTCCTTGGGTCTGCAGCCACTTTCGTCCTTCCCCCGTCTGCAGCCAATTTCGTCCTTCCTCCGTCTGCAGCCAGTCTCGTCCTCCGTAGGTCCCCAGCCACGCTCGTCCTCCATCCATATGCAGCCAATCTCGTCCTTCCTCCGTCTGCACCCAGTCTGGTCCTCCATCCGTATGCAGCCGGTCTGGTCCTCCGTGGGTCTGCAGCCACTCTCGTCCTATCTGGTCCTCCAGCCACTCTCGTCCTGCCCGGGTCCGCAGCCACTCTCGTCCTGCAGCCACTCTCGTCCTGCCTGGGTATGCAACCACTCTCGTGCTGCCTGGGTTTGCAGCCAGTCTCCTCCAGCCTGGGTCTGCAGCCACTCTCGTCCTGTCTGGGCCTGCAGCCACTCTCGTCCTGCCCGGGTCTGCAGCCACTCTCGTCCCCTCTGGTCCTGCAGCCACTCTCGTCCTCTCAGGATCTGCAGCCAGTCTCGTCCTCCCTGCGTCTGCAGCCAGTCTTCCCCTCCCTGCGTCTGCAGCCAGTCTTCCCCTCCCTGAGTCTGCAGCCAGTCTTCCCCTGTCTGGCCATGTGCCCGGCCTTGTTCTGCCTGGCCATACGCCCAGCCTCGTCCTGCCTGGATCTGCACCCAGCCTCGTCCTGCCCGGGTCCGCAGCCAGTCTCGTCCCCCTTGTGTCTGCAGCCAGTCTCGTCCTCCCCGGGCCTGCAGCCAGTCTCGTCCTCCCCAGGTCTGCAACCAGTCTCGTCCTCCGTGAGTCTGCAGCCAGTCTCGT